TTATTAATTCGTGGCCTACTAATTACCATTTTCAAGATCTTGTTATCTGTACCTACGAATTAGGCTAAATAAGTTGTATAGCTGAATCCTCCACATTTACATCAGTTCACATCGGCGATACCAACTAGGTCACTTTATTTCAATAATTCGCTTGCGACCATGATTGTTTAGCAGCGGGCGAAATTCCAATCTTATATACTTGTAAAGTTCTGGTGGTACAATATCAGTTCCTACTTATACTATTTTTAACCAGCGTATTAGTATGAATGGTCAGGTAGATTGTTTGCATTTAAATGGCATTTATTCCTATTTCATTGATTTTACTCAGTGACAGGGGGAACTGGGCCTTGGACCTACGGGTGTGGTGGTCTGTGGGCCCTGGGGGTCAGGGGCCCATCGGCACCATTTGGAAAATACAATGGCCTAAATCCGAATAGAAAAATGGTCGATGAGTGGTTTGCGAGAAAGGTGAATCAAGCTTGTTTCGTTTTCTCATAATGTCACTTGTTTATCGCGATGGAGACCCTGGTAAACTAGTTGGTTCGAGGACATAGGGCTACCCAGTCCGTTCCTGTTCAATGCCACTCGAGCTTTACTATCACGATATCCTGGAATTAATTGGAATTTATAAGTGTAAAAATTGGATTTAAAACCGCGTTTCTCGCCATTTCCATTAACTAGTTCATCTGGCGTACCCTTACATACATATAAAGATATTGGTTTAAGTTAACGAGGCAGTTTATGCATCACATAGAAAGAGTTTATTACACAATATTCATGACGTTTGTTATCGTACGTGGGACAAGTCTTGAATGTTTTTGTTGATATCCGAATACCGCACGTCATATATAGCCGTATTATTAGCTCTTTAACGTTTGATTTATCTGTGTTTTATTATATAGAGTTATTCTGTGTATATTCTATGAAAACATGCATTATGTTGTGTTAGGTTGCTATTATGGGCATTTATATGGTCAAACGAAACGATTTTCCTCTGAAGTTTCAGATAACAGGCCTATTCTTTGTCAAAAACAACGAGCACTTTTTCGTTTTTAATACCCAAAAATAGCTCGGAATATAAGATGTCTGGCTGATTCTTCAACAACCCAGTAAATGAAAAACCACGGATGACCCGACAGCCTATTAGACTGATAATTCTGAGAAAAAATTAATTGTATGGAGCAGAATTCACGACATAATTCTAAACTCTTTAAACTACTAATGCCTATATGTTAATATATTACCCGAGAATTATAGGTGACTCTGGCCTGTTCAGAGGATGCCGAACATTGTGGAATTTTCAATTCATCATTATCTTTGTAGATAGTGAACGGAATTGAATCGTTTTTGGACTGATGTTACTTTTAGATATTCAACTTCCACAATATTCAAAGATTCAAAATCCCTCGAATGACAACCAACGGCTTCAAAAACAATGTTGTACTTTTTTCCTCGCGGTAATTTTGTTATCGATGTGTTAAAATATATTTTCTGTAGTCTTATTTTTACTATTTTATTTTGTTTTATAAACAGTGCAATGAAATGAAACTTCACAAGGCACGTTTCAAATTTGACTGCATCTGGCAACACTTCTGAAAGAAAAGCAATTAGTTCATTCATATATACACACACGTTCTCTCGTCTCCAACAGTTTACGGGGAAACGGAAATATGTCTGTCGTGATTTACGCTACTCGGCTGTAAAGAAATGAGTAATTTGTTACATTTTTTATGAACTGGAAAAGAGTTTTCACGGGTTCCATTACAAGTAATTGAAGATGAAAGAACATGGTTCGTCAAGAATTTGGCTATGACTGATGTCTGGGGCTCATTCTAGTAGATTTTTTAAATTTTTGTTGACGTGATGTCTTTTTCTCGAATCTGTACATCAGTGCCTATAACTGTTTTCTTTATTTATGTGAGGTGGATTTTTTGTATTTTATAACTTATTACTTAATGTTTACACTGTTTTTTTTATAAAACGCATGGTTAAAAAAAATGAGTAATGCGGAAATGTTGTCACGTGAATATATCCCAAACAATTACGAAATGTAGCACAAATTTTCACCAATAGAAACGAAAACGCTTATTATAAAATGTTTTTAAGTGTATGCATCCCAAATGGTCATTTATAAAACAGTAACGGGACTTTTTAATGAAGAAATGTTTTTTTCTTGAATATATCACAAATCATACTCGCTTTGAAATTAGGAAATGCTTTTAAGCGGATTTATCCCAAATCTGTACTAATAAAAAACAAAATATTATGCTAAAATCAACGGTAGATAATCTCTGGATTAAAAAGAGACCCGTCAAAGATTTAATCTAACAATTGTAGGAGGCGCTGACTTGTTTATATCGTCTGTAGAAGATGTCAGATGTGGCGATATTTTCAGTTGATCATATCTTTATAATGAACGGAATTGAACCATTTTGGACTGATATTCCTTTTAGATATTCAAAGATTCAAAATCCCTCGAATTTATAAAAATCACTTATTTAATTACGAAATGCTTTTACGTGGATGTGTCCCAAATCTTCACTTACGAAAAACAAAAGCGTACTATTTTATTAAGAAATGCTTTTTACGTGAATATATCCCAAATTTTCATTTATAAAAAAATACTCGCTTTTAAATTAGGAAATGCTTTAACTAGGATGCATCCCAAATCTTCACTTTTGAATACAAAAAAAGCGATTTTAAATTAAGAAATGCTTTTATGTTGATGTATTCCAAATCTTCATTTTTAAAATCAAAAACACAGTTTCTGGTTAGAAACTGCTGTTACCAAAGTAAAAGGAACTGCTGTTTCCAAAGTAAAACTAAAACTACGTCTAGTGGCAGTTGAAAGAATCAGACGTTTGATCACTGTATCACTTCAATGATACGAGTTCTTGTTTGTATGGAAACCTCTCTGGTTGTTGCCCTCTCGTTTGCTAATACGATAAACACTACTTTTGAGTTCTTTAAATATGTTTTATGCCGTTTTGATGGAACATGAAAATATATAATCCGTATCTGCTAGTTCCGGGTCAATTCAAGTGGTTTTATAAAAACAGACGCTTGATTTCATAGTAAAACATTGACATTTCATCAATGTGATTAAAAGAAAATTAAATTCTGAATAAGATGCACTGATTTGAAAAGTTTCAGTGGTGATCCGTAAACTGTGATGTTTCATGGAACATACATTTGTATTCCAATTTCTAGTCTTTCCGAGGAACACTTTGCATATATTTCTAACAACATCCTGTCAAGGTATGTGTAGCGATGGTGGCTCTTAAACGTCCAGAAGACACGGAATACCAAAGAGGAGATTACAGAAAGCAGTTTAAATCAGATGCAAGTCATCAATCTATGAATTATTCTAACTTTTATAGTTTTTGGAAGCATAGCTTCGATCGTCACTCGAAGGCTATTCGAATATTGGATTCAATTTTAATGATCATTTTTGGGGTCGTTTTTGTGCATTTTATTATTTTTTAGAATTATTAATATCAGAATTAATTATTTTAATTGGTATCGAATAACAAACTAATGACTCAATTTGGAGCTTTGATATTTCAACATGCAGGATTTCATTAGTAAAAGATTTTGAAACCCAGATTGATATTGCTTTTCCTATAATTAATGTCCAGAAGAGAGAGATAACTATTTTATATTGATTGCTTGTTAATGCTGTTTGTTTAAAAATTGAGTTTATACTATTCAAATAGGTTTCTGTTATAGCCCAAATATCAAAGTCATTTTCGTAAATATATAATCCTTTAATAAAATTGTGCATTTCTCACGGATCGTGTATTAATTGGTATCAAGACTAGTCTGATTTAATTATATATTCTCTTTTTTGGCTATAAATGTAGCTTTATGTTGAACTACATTTGATGTTTGATTAAATAGGAACAGACCCGACACCATAAGTTGATACCATCTCATGCCATCAGTAAGTGTCTGCAACTAGAATCATATATCAAAACATTAGTCTGGCATAGACAAATCGACAAAATTGTTTTACTAAATTTCATAATATATATTACTATATAAACATTTAAAACGAAGCGCACACTCCGTATTATATATATGATAAGATTTATACCAAATTATGGTTCATCGTTCTTTAGCATTATCAACATTTTGAGGGTGTGATGATTATATAAGATAATGTCGTCTTGTTGTGTACTTCTGTTTTAGTGTTATCATATCACAACGTCTGGATTAGAAAAAAAAATATTTTATATTGATAGCTTACATATGTTCACAGATAGTTTAACCCTATTTTAAGATGGAGATAAAATAATGCATCTGTTATCGCCACTTTTGGGTGGTTGTAATTGTAGGGTTTGGTATTATGACCTTCCTGTTGGAAGACGGTGGCGTCTAATATCATGGCAACATTTGGCTGGAAATTTATTCAGAGCCATTTTGGTGCATTGTTTCCGTGTTGGGAATAAGCTGATATGTCCTAAAATAATATACCTACAGTGTCAAAAAAGGCATCCAGCAGGGATCAATTTTATGTCCTTTGTGATATGTACTATATGATAATGATATTCCGAAAAATATTACATGGCTTTATGGAAGTTAATTTGTGAGACTTTTTTGTGATAGATGTCTGTATCGGTTGTTCAGAAGATTTTAGCCATGTTTAAATTCCTTATATTCAAAGATGCATGAGCCAATTTTCGTGGTGGCCAAATTCATCATACACTGCACTAAATTATAGTCTTGAAGAACAGTCCTGTTTCTTTTCAAAATTAACACATTCGACTCGCAGTGTTTATAAATTTATCAAGCACGGCAATTTTAATGGCATTTGATTTTCGTCGGGGTCATTATACCGCTGTGACGTTAATAAAACAGCATTCGTTCATTGTTTTTATTTCAAAACAGGGCAGGCATGAATGTCTCAAAGACTGCTATCGCAGTATCGGGTTTGCCCCGATATTTCAGAGTATATATCCCTGTTTTACTATAATTAATGTTTTAATTTATTATTTCAGGGACCACAGGGACCTATTGGACCATCTGGTATGCTAGGACCTGTTGGTGTTCCGGGTGCACCAGGACCACCTGTAAGTATCCATGTTTACCGTTTCTGTTTATAAAATCATACATATAATATAATATGACAGGATGACATCAACATCCGCCAATTCAAAAACACTATTTTTGTGATTCTTTTAAAGTGACCTCACCGCATTACCCAGGTTATCAATTTTATCTTCGGTGGCCAAACAAGTGCGATGCCTATGCAAAATATATAAAATCAAAGTAATAAAAACTCTAGGAAATTGGGTAAACTTCTCTAAGATAGACTAAATTAATACACAGTTTCGAGCAAATTTGGTAAACTTCTCTAAGATAGACTACTTTAATACACAGTTTCGAGCAAATTGTCTTGGTTTGGTAAAAGAAGGATATTTAAGAAGGATATTAATGCGTTTACGGTGGTGATTATAAAAAATTATACTAATGTCCAAAAGAAAGTATAGACTGCGCATTTCGTCCTGCTTCACACAAAGTCGTCTTTTCATTGTATGCGGTATTTGGGTACGATGTCAATTTGTTTTGCTACTTATTTGCTTAAAAATATTGAGTTTGGGCGCACGAGACATGTCAGTGTAGTTTTATCACATTTTGTTGATTCAAACAAAACTTAGTCATATTTTTAGTGTGTATACTTTCTTTTGGACATGAGTATATATTGTGTAACAGCAATATATGTTATTGTTAGTGCGGAATTCGCTTCTTAGTTAGGTGCATTTGAAAGACAGGGCTTGTTTTGGCCAAAACAAAAAATACCTGTGCTTACGACTACTTGCGGAATAAAATTAGGTAGAACTAACTAAACTAATGAATTAATCTTTTAAAAACCAACCCCGATACGTGCATTATAAAGCCTGTGTGGTGTCATTTGCAATACCGTAAAGTGTTTATAAGTAAGTGTTTGAGTAAGATTCTGGATTATTTCAGTCAAATTACTTTATTTTGAAGAACGTTATGAATGTTGGAACTTTAAAGTTTTGATAAGAATAGCGTAATCTCGATTTATTTTTCATTGCGACCGTTGTTACGATAATAAACAAAGTCTCGATTATCCATTTATTAATTAAATTATTAAATGGCAATCGTGTTTCATTCCAGTCAAAACCACGACAAACCGATGAACTTGATAGTTGATTATGGGCTTGACATGTGAATAATAATTTATATAACAATTGAAGCTAGAAGAAAGACCGACACTAGGAAGAATTTGCTCTAACACAATGCGTCTTTAAAGGAGCTCAATATTTTCCATGATATTAGAAATTATAAATACCAATTAGAATTTAATGTTGGTCCATTTCAATCGATATTGATGCTGTTACCATGTCGTGAAAATATGGGATCATAATATTTTAATTTACTTAAGACAGAGAGAATATTTTAAAACCAATACACGAGTGTGTACTCTGTGATTTCAGTTGCCATTTGTAATCAACGAAAAAAAAATAGGTTAAGCAGGCGTAAACGACTTTCGTTTTAAATTGGACTGCTCATGTATTTCACAGAACCTAATTGATTAGAAATTACAATAAACATTTTTAGAATTGAATATAAATCACTTTATATATATTCGTATTACATTAATATATCCTTTTAGACCCATTTAAGATTCCTAAAAATAGAGCCATACGCTCTTTAATAAGAATTATTAGAATAATTAATTATAGAGTTATTGTCCTTGATCATGCCATAGAATATTGTCAGCGTGCCAGTGATATTATACCGTATAAAGATTTTGCTTTATATTTATTTTAAGAGTAACACATCGACTACATTAATGGACTGTTCGGGCGATATAGCTGTTGTAGGCGTTTACAACCTATCTTCTCTGATTGTGGGGTATCAATAGAGTTTAAAGCCTGATTTGTAAACGTAAAACTGCTTTGAGACAAATTTCCACCCCTTAGTTTTAAAATCTAATATGTTTAATGTATATTATACAAATATGACAGCGGGTCATTTGGAATATTTACAAGTGCACAAGTACGTAAAACACATTATATGACATTCTGAAGTTTTTTTATTGCATTTTTAAAAACTAAAGCCAGTGTAATTATGTCAGTTCACATACGATTGCTTTAACACATTTTTAGGCAAAATATTAAAGATTGAATTTCCTTTTTTTTCAAAATTTTCGACATATTAATTATGATTGTCACTATCAGATTTCTTTAAATATGAGCTTATGTGATTAACCGATATTATACCATATATATACTGCGTATTATAATTCTCTGGAGACTAGGTGGATATTGCTAATATTGTATTGTAGTATAATTTGAGTAGCATCGGGAGCATTTTCAGTTATTAAGGCGCTGACTCTCTGACCAGGGGGTCTCTGGTTCGCTCTCGGTGCTAGCCGAGTAAGTTCCTCGTGATTTTCCGGCGCATTTCCCCCGGTCAGTGGTGCAGGACAGAGGTTCTTGCAAGGACAGTGTCTAGCCTTTTGGATGAGACAAAAAACAAGGTCCTGTTTGCACATTTGCTTTCACGTAAAAGAGCCCTTGACAGTTGGAATTCGAAATAAGAGTAGGCCGCAGTGCCACTGTCCGGGCAAAATTACCTTAATAACACAATGTATGGCGCAGTCGGTGCAGAAAAGTAGGAAGTTAACGAAGAAGACAATATTAAAAGATAACTATCCAGTTGGATTTTTAAAAGAAATGTATAGAAAAATGTACTGGTATATTATAAGGGGTACAAATTTCGAGACCAACATGGTTATATTTTTTACAATGGTATTGGTCGCGATAATATGCGAAATTGAAAGATTTGTGAAATGACTTATATTGTTAAATTTGTTGACATAATTATTTTGTATAGCATTGAGGATATACTTTTAAAGCACAGCTCTACATAGATTGACGTTGTACGATTTATAGAACAGAACAAACTTTGAATGTTATATACATGATTCATTCTGTATTACGTAATTATATTTTCAGGGTCCACCTGGTCAGCCTGGTGAAAAGGGAATTACGGTAAGTTCTTTATATACTGTAGGACAACAATATAGAACTATACTAATAAGTAAAAGAAACGTCGGGTTGGTGTGTTACTCTGAATAGACGCATTGCATAAAACTTGCCAAATGTTTTTATTGTATATTTGTGACCACATCTCCAACTTTACCTGAGCAATAAGGCTCCTTCCCAAACACAGAATTGAACCCAGGAAATTTTCTCAAAAACGCACCCCGACTTCTGAGATGGTAATGTGTTCTCCATAATTTTCATGTAACTTGTGCTGCACGTGCTGTTCACCGGGGCCAGCCCTATAAAATGTACCCCCATACCTGGTTGAATCATTCACACTACAACGTCCGCAGCATGCCATGACTCACGACAGCTCAGAGGAACCAGGCGCTTGGAAGTCTCGGCGCTGGCCACACAGCCCAAGCCGTTGCCAATCACTTCCAGGTCAATGTTCGAACCATCTACAGGTTTAAGTAACGCTTTCGGGCCACCAATACCACGGATGACCAAGGGTTACCACAAGGCGACAAGACCGCCATGTTGTGCGACAGCACGTGCAGAATCCCTTCACACAGGCATCTGAGACAGTACGTCAGACAGCGAGAACACACGGAAGACCCATCAGTACCGATACAGTGCGACGACGTCTAACCAGAGAGAACATCCATTGCCGTAAATCTTACCGTGGACGGATCCTCACCCCTCGCCATCGACGTGAACGTCTACAGTTTGCACACAACACTAGAACCGGCGACACAGGCAATGGAGAACTGTTCTCTTCACAGATGAGAATCGGTATTGCGTATCAACTGCAGATGGCAGGACCAGAATATAGCGTCGACATGGCCAGCGTTATTCTGACCAATGTGTCATGGAACGAAACTCATTGAGACGTCCAAGCATAAGGGTTCCAAAATCTTGGGCCAGGGAGAGGAGGTGGCATCACAGCAGTGCGCTACATCGATCAAGCTTTCAGACCCCACGTCATACCACATTTCGCACGTCATCGAAACAACGTTTTCGAGCATGACAACGCCCGTGCCCACACCGCCAGAGTTACTCGGGACTTTCTACAGCAGAACGGTGTCAACGTTATGCACTGGCTAGCCCTTAATCCGGACTTAAACTCGATTGAACATCTTTGGGATGAAATTCAGAGGAGACTTAATAGCGTCAATGGATTGTGCCATGCTTTTCTGAGAGTGTGGTCCCAGATGCCAATGGCGTTCATCAATCGTCTGGTCCACTCCATGTACAGACGCTGCGCTGCTGTTATTGACACTCGCGGTGGCACACCAGATACTGATGTATAGACTGTGTACAGACTATAAACCATCTCGTAATGTTTTGGAATTGTTATGAATAAATCACTAATGTGTCAACATACTGTTCACAAAAAATTGCTTTGACCCGTTTAGTAAGTCGTTTTCTAGAATGATTTGATTAAAGTGCCTCTCTGATTTTGAAATCGTACTGACGGGGTTTTTGTTTTTTTGCCGTTTAGTATATATTCTGTTACAAGTTACATCCCTCCCGAACGCACTTTCTGTTTGAAAATAATAAGTGGACCACTGCGCGGATTCGGGAACGAGTCTATCCTGACATTGAGTTTTGAAGTAACAGTTTGTTAGGCTATTAAATAGTTTTATTATCACTGTGTAACCTGCCGCGCAATTTGCCACATTAGAACCAAACGTATGAAGACACTATATATTTTTTATCCGATTACGGAAATGGCATGGGACTTCCAGTGTGAAGGACCCCATGTACGCATGGTAGCATTCGAAATATTTTGATTCTAGTCGCACCTTTGTTTTTGTACGTCAGTAAATCTTTTAGATTAGACCGATAATAACATTAACGTTAAACCCCATTCATTTTATATTCTATGCTTAGACTCATTACGTGTATTTTTTTATTGTAGGGTTCGCTATATTCTACAGGTTCTGGACAACGAGGACCACTTGGCCCTGCAGTAAGTATTCAAACATTATTATTTTAGATTGTGTCAAGTTGAGAGATTATTTAATCACTACTAGGATAGGGGTGTGTTTACCTAGCATAATTGAGGGGTTAGGGAGCATTGGGTAGTGATTAATAATTAAGCTGACATATACTTACGTGGGGCCTTAGTGAGTAAGGCACTGGTTCACTAACCAGGAGGAACCGGGGTCGATCCCGGTGTTGGCCAAGGAAGTTCTTCGAGATTTTTCAGCCTGAATTCCACATATTAATGGCGCAGGATGGAGAGCCTGGCGAGTGAAAGGCGGCTAGTCGTTCGGATGGTATGAAATTCTGATTACACATTGGCATTAACGTAACAGAACAACAATTAGGTGTTGGAAATTGCAGGGTAGGTGTATACAGTGCTCTCCGGGTATGATTTTCCTTCACAGGGTACTGCATCAGGCGATACGTTTCAAGTCAGTAGCTTGAAGCGTATATATGGTATTAGTGTCAGTGGCCTGTGGCACGAAGTAACAGTATATTGTCGCATACATAATATATTATGTCAACGCTTGGGCGATATAATATATTATGTCAACGCTTGGAACTAGGATGGAGGTGACTAGGCATGAACTTGCAACGATAGATTTAATTGGCGCTTTGATAACCAATGAATGCTTGTTTTTTTCTTTTCTGTTTTTTCTCTCTTTTCTGTGTCCTAACCCTAACCCTAACCCTAATCCGAAAGAAAAGTGCCCTTTTTTGAAATTCTGACATCACAGGTGCCCTTTTTCTGATAAGGATGCCCTCTTTTATTTACAGGGACACTTTCTATGGCTCTGATGACGCGTACATTCCACTGAGTCTACAGGTCTAATATGCTAACACGCTTGGAGCGTCAACACAATATATTATGTCGCCCAAGCGTTGACATAATATATTATGTATGCGACAATATACTGTTACTTCGTGCCACAAGCCACTGACACTAATACCATATATACGCTTCAAGCTACTGACTTGAAACGTGCAGGGTGACTGCATGGCAAAACAAACAATGGCTGAACACTGTTGAAATCGATAATCGTCGAGTTATCTCCCCGTTTACATTATTCGATTTGACCTATGTAAAGAAAGTATGGTAGGATGGGATTCGGGACTAAAAATATGATTTTCTGTTAAAGCTATAGCAGAAAAAGTTGTGTATTTGGTTCAAAGTGGGTCATATATATTATTTATATTATCCATTTGAGTTCAAATAATTGTTTTTCCAGAAAACTTTAAAAATGTCATGACCTTGTTATTCAGTGTCTTATTCTGCAAACGTTTTATTTCTGGTATTCTTTTATTTTTTAGGGTCCACACGGGCCATCTGGTGCTCCAGGAATGGTACGATGAGTATTTTATTTTCGAATATTATTTTTAAAAAGTATTAATGTTTGTGTTCGAAAGGTGCCGTAGAATTTACAACGTCAGATTATATATTAAAATTTTAAAAATAAAAACGTGATAACCTTCAACCATTAACAGGTTGGATTTCCATGTCCAGAGCCCATGGATTGTTATTCAAGAAAAATGAGATTTGTCAATGGAACATAATTCAAAAGTATAATGTAAACTTCTGAAATGAGAAGTGATATTAAGTGTTCCAGAAAGGTTAAAGCACACCATGTGTCGTGCGCGACATTCGTCAGGTCAATTTGAGTTACCCTTTTATTTGCTGTTTGCATTATGATTTTTACAGCAGCGGTTCATAGTGTTTTGTGAATTATTTGCCTTTTTGATTATAACAGTACTTTCATTATACTGAAATATTACAAATTTGCCCACTAGTGCTGGATGACTCTAACAAAATGCAAATATTGTAGGCCTGGGTACAGATCTGCATTCCATTATATAGTAAATCATTACCAAATCGTTTTGATTCTTTTCTTTTTGCCTAAAATATTATTGTAGCCTGGAGAACGAGGTGCTCCTGGAGAAAGGGGTCCCTCGGGTGGACAGGGTGTCCCGGGAGTTCCTGGATTACCGGGACCACCAGGATTAACGGGTCCACGTGGTCTAAGAGGACAGCCAGGAATGCCTGGTATGCCAGGGTTACCGGTAGGTATCAACAATAAAATAAACTAAGCGATAGATAACTTTTCTGTAATTCTGAAAAGGATATAGTTCAGGGAACTGTTTCACGAAATTTTAACTAAAGATAAAATCCAAATTTTAGTAGATTCTTCAATTTTGATTGGCTAAGCACTAAATCAATCTAATATTATCCAATCAAATTATTAAAATTTGCATTTTATCTTAGTTAAAATTTCATGAAACAGGCCCTGAATGAAAGTATTTTTAAATAGCTTGAAGACGATAATCGACATGGGCTTACATGCTCTATAGTAAATAATGAATGAACTAATAAATATAAATAAGGTGTATTTCTGGTAATTGCTAATGTCTGAATATACTTGTTATAAAATTAACTAATTTCATACATGTACGTTAATTTCCATGCTGTAGACGTTTGTATTGGGTTCATGTTATCTAAACCTATTTTTTATAAAAATAATTTTACCATATTTCGTACATGTATAAGACTTTCCGTGCTATAAACCTTAGTATTAGACTATCTGTATTTAAATGTTGTAAACCCTTGGCTACTGTCAACGTTGTGCAATCAAAAGGATTTCGTATAATCATATAGAATAGTATTAAAGTTTAAAGTTTCTTGTGTATATCTTTTGTCATCAGGGAAGAAGTGTATCAGAAAATGAAATAAGAGAACTGTGTTATATGATATTAAGAGGTTAGTTCTGGAATATCAAAATATATTACATAAAGATGACGTTACAGGCATATTATTGTAATTAAAATTATCCTTGTGAAGATTTGTACATTTCGGCGTTTGATTTGCATACTTAACCCCACTTGTATGAAGGGATATCCTATGAAATCTGTGAAAGTATTTAATTGGATCGATTAAATTTGGTCTTGGGTTAATCTCTTCTTCTGCCACACTCTGTAAAAGATAATAAAACGTCAACACCACCTGGCATATTCAAAAAGTTTACTATATACAAGCTAATACGTGGCAAATCCTCTGAATACGATACGTTGATATTTGTTGTGTATTCCTTGCAAATGAAAAGAAATGAGGTTTAACGGCCTACTGTTCTACTCCTACTGTGTGCCATGCAGTGTGCTATGAGGGAAACTTTATTTCGAATAAACTGTCAAGGGTTCTTTTACGTGCAGTGTGTACACTTGACCTCGGTGTTTCGTTCCTTACAAGGCCCTCCACCCTACACCAATGACAAGGGGAAACCACGCCGAAAGATTCCGATGAACTTTCTCGGCCAACGCAGGGATGGAACACGGGACCTCCAGGTTAGCGAGCCAGCGTCCTTCTCACTGAACCACCGCGGCGCCTTATTTCTTGCAATGATTGTGTAGTTTGTCATGTCAGCGGGTTTGTCTTATCGGTTTTGTTTTACATGTAGTGCGGCTCTTCTTCACTTACTATTTATAGTTAAAAGGCATCAACTGAACTTAGAGAATATGTGTTCAGTTGGGACATCTGACATCGACACTAGTCTAAACACTAGTACGGGAGAGGGATTATATAGGCTTTGTCTGTTCCCAATCCTAGAAATAAATAAATTAATGTTTATAAGATAAAATGAAATAATAAACACTGATGCTTAGTCTCAATATAATATAAAGGTTTAAAATATATAAAAGTTATGTATTTTTATTGTTGATTTGTATGTTTAGATCAAATAGAAGATTTAGTAGCCGATTTAAGAGGTCCACCAGGTGCAACAGGAGTTGGTAAACCAGGCAGACCGGGGCCACCTGGCACTCAGGGAATTGAAGGTAAATATGTTATAAAAATATCCATATAGGCCTGTACGAATGGAGTACTGCCCTTACCCACAGACGAATTACTGTTTTCAATGGACTGTACAAAAGACAATTATAAACCAAGCATCTGTACAGAAACGTTTCGTCATATTAATTTTGGAGGTTTGCAGTTAATATTTTGTCCGTTGGTTTTGTTTATCGCAACTTTTTCAGACTATGAGCCGTCCATCTTTTTTTCTGCGGGTGCAAGGCAACGCAGTGATTTAAAGATTTTGTCCACCCAATTTAATCCTTTATTCAAACTACAAATTAGTGGGTACTACATAACCTGCATACGAACGTAAGCCTACATAAACTTTAGACATTATGTTCAAAGTTAGAAAAGTCCGATAGTGGGTTTAAAATGGAACTATGATAATGTTCGGATATTATATATATGATGGAATATGGTACTGATTAAAATGCAATTACATGTAATACGTTATCAGCTTTGGGTAGGACCCACAGAAAGTGTTTTGAATGCTTTTATTTGTTTTGTAAATAGGTGAACGGGGATCAGTTGGACCAATGGGAGAACGAGGATTTATGGGATTACCCGGTTTACCAGGACCACAAGGACCCCCTGGTTCTCAAGGTAAGGTGTTCAGGTTGTAGAAACTTGCCAAGAATACATGTATTATGATTTACTTCAAGAGTGATGATGGATGATTTTCAAATAATTGCTACTACATGTATTGTGTTTTGCTTTTTGTTTTGATATCTAGGCTGCTGCGAATTGGCATCGGGGTCGGTAGTACAAATAGTATTTTTATTGGGGATTGGTCATAGTTGACGTCTTATATAAAATAGATTGGGAAGCGTTGTTGCTTTCATGTACACTTAAATTGGTAAATTTGAAGGATGGGGACGCAAACATGTTGATTAGTGTGCTCGTTGGGCAAAATGAAATATGAACAGGGTGGGGATAAGGGTTGTAACAAACGTGGATTTGGCTGTGTGTGTACGAATTATATGTTTATGAATGTTATTTTAGGTATTCGTGGTTCTAAGGGTGATCGGGGACCTACGGGTCATGGGGATCCAGGAAAAACAGGACAACCAGGATCGCCAGGTACGTACGTCATAATTTAATTGATTTCAAATATGATATTCTTCTTTTATGGCTAGGTTGTACAAAGAATTTGGTTTAAACCTAGACAGATAAATCTGTTTACACAGATTCTCCTGTTCCTACAATTGGCAGCATGGAAACATATCCAGTTAAATCTTTGTGGTAGGGAGAAATGGAGATTAACGTCCACTGGACACAAACTATGTTATTTCGGGACTAACAATGTTAGGAACATAGGCCCCTATGGTTAAATTTTTATGTTAATAATTCGCTTGCGCGTAGGGGTTGTTCGCTGTGGGATGAAACCGGGGGACCCGGAGAAAACCCACGAGGTTAAGCAGGCGACCATACACTTTTCACGTACAAGCGTGTACAAGTGTGGGCTCGAAACCACCCTCTTGACTCAATAACGCAAGTTTGCACGCATTAGACCATTTGATGACCCAACCCGCCGTCAAAACAGAGATGCTTTAAGAATACGGAAAAAAAGTAAATGCCTTGCCAACTATACATTTTTCTGATTTTGTTTGTTTCAGGTCCAACCGGTCCACCAGGTGAAGGGATTATGGGAAGACCAGGAGAAAGAGGGCCGCCGGGACAATCTGGAAATCATGGTCATAGAGGACCACACGGTCCACCCGGACCTCCTGGATATTGTGAATATTGTAATTACGCTGCCGCGGGTACAGACTATCTTCGTATGACCAGAAATAACAACAAGGGGCCTTAAAAACCGCGCAAACCTCTTTTAAAGCCACTTTCGATAGTTGACCTGTAGCACATTGCGATACTTATACATTACAAACCGTGCACCCTATACAAATTACTTACTGTAAATACTTATATCTTTTAACTTTCATTCATTAGTTGTTTAATTATAGTCTGTCTAGTAGTTGCATTAATCTTTAATTATCTGTCTCTTTTACCCAGTCAATCTATTAACTCGTCACCATTTTTTTGTCCATATTTTATTTATTTTGTTTCTTTTTCTTCCTATCTATCTACGTATCACAATCATAGCTGTACTTGAGATTTTTTTTTGTTGTATATTTGAGAGAAATTAACTTTTAGTAGTCAATTCTCTGAAGCTAACTGGCCATTATACTCTGAGATAAAGTATTTTAGAAGATTCGAATACAGGGTATGCTGAGCAGTTAGCGGATTGATAATTATAAATTTGTGTTACCCGCATGTAATAAAAACCACACCCAAATAATATGAAGAAGACTACAGGCAGCTTAGGTTTGGGGTAGTATTTAAGGCCCTTCATGTGTTATTTCTCCATACAATAATACTAATCGAGAAGCAAAAAGGCCTGCTGTTCAGTTAAATTCATATTGAAGTGGGAGAAACGTACATTCAACGAATCCTCGTAACAAGTGGTGCTAAAAACAATTATCTTAATTTATAAATATCGTGTCTATAAATATATTTGATTCGATTTGTGAAAATAAAAAGTGCTAATGAATCGTGTGTATTAAGATACTGAACAGTTAAACGTATTGACAGAAAAGGATTAAAACATTTATAAAGAAGACTGAACAGCACAGTACATGTTTTGGTTGGTGTTCATGTGAATACACGTTTTACTCATACAGGGATATTGGCATAATCATATTCTCAAGGTCATGTTGATTTTCATATAGAATGACCTTCGACCTCAAACACTGCCATTGTTCTATATGAAGTGTATCGATGTTCTATGACATTTTTTTTGTTTTGTTTTTTTAAAGAAAGTAATACATGTATAACGTAAGTATAGGATGTAATATTTTATTGTAATTTAGATAAGTTTGCTGCACGGTTTCTTAAAACTATTTTGGTTGGAAAGAAGGGTAGATCAAACCTCGTCACACATTCATCATGGATTTCATCTCCATGGTGATCGCCACATTCATCTCCATGGTGATCGCCACCTTCATCCCCATGGTGACTGCCACTTTCATCTCCATGGTAATCGCCATGTTGGTATCTGTAGTGATCATCATTATGATCTCCTTGGTGATTGGCGGTAGAAATGTACGCCAGACTGAGGTATCGCTAGGATTGATGGGATAGACATGTTATAGCGTTGACCAACCAGTCGTTTTGCTGAAAACGTCGCCATCTTGATCAGGGACTGTGTCTTAAGATCTCAGCATTATAATGGTATGGTGTCGCGCCTGAAAACAATGGAATTGCAGTTTAATAGTGGGAAGTATTTTTGCTTGCCTTTATGGCATTGGCTATGAAATATTTTCCAAGAAACATAGCTAGGCTATAATATATATCAACATAAAAATCCATTTCTCATATATATTATTAATTGATCAAATTTGAATTTGAGCAAATATATAGTTTTATATATATATGATAGCATTGTAATATTAACAACGATATAATAGTTATTTCTTTATGGTTTTAAATATCTTGTATTATATTGATAAAACTAGTGTAATGTCATAGAGAATTATTTCGCAAAGAATAGAATTTTATTTTCTAATTTGGAGGCTTTTTTGTATTATTCAAATCTAAAGAATACGTTTTGTATATTTACATCAACATTAAACTGGTCCTTTAGGGCAAATTAAAATAACATTCAAATTGTCTTCATTGCATCATTACATGAATCTTAATAATCCCATGCAAAACGGTTGTTTGTATTGTAAAGCGAATCCCGTTAGTGGTCTTCGGTAAATTAACAATGGCAGCAAAATGTAGGCATGTGGAGTAACAAGTCTGCAAACATAAAGATAATATTACAGGGAATCCAAGATACCTCACCTAGAAATCTATTCTGTCAAGGTTTATATTCAAACATTTGGCTCAACGAACAATTCTACATTTTTCAACTACCCTTGTGAAGCCAAACCATGGCGGGAACTTATCAGTGTTTTAACATATACTATATTAATGATTTTTTTTATATTAATAAAATTTAATATCTTGTGCCAATGAAATTCGTAAAAGAAAAAAAACCGGAATAATATTCTCAATAATGTTCATAACACATGAGCAATGGTGTAGGGGAACCTGTACCCACCCAAACCTACCAATAATAGTATAAAACCCCACCCTCTGTGCAATACTCCTCACAGTATGTCATTTGATAAATCTAAACTGCTGTATCCAGGTATAGTATGTCGTTTTATCAGTCCACACTTTTTGTGTAACTAATAGCTCGTTTGATGTTGTTTTTTCCTACCGGGTTTCGTATTTAGTCGCGGTTGTCACTCATACTTTTCATATAAACATATCTGGAAACTGTCTTGAATTGACAGGCCCCGTCAATAAGTGAGTTCATCATTTTTAAAAGTAAGGCGATGATCTGATTTCTGCTGCCTCGATCCAACATAAGATGTAAGGGCCTGCTAGGTAACTGGTAACCAAAACACGTACATTTTATTTTTAAGTGAGAATCTCTCCGGTATCTCAAGTATCTGTTTTTTAAAACTAATTTTGGGGCAATTTTGTTTTATTGCACATTATCGACTATAGAGACATGCGAATCTTTGTATAATAAATTACACGCTGGAATAATCCATGGAGCTATTTGGGTTCCGAAAAGCATCAAACTGTACAGGGGCACATGTCCGACTAACAGAGTGACTGTCCTGGAACAGTGCGGAATATTTACAGAGTTGATTCAAAAGAGAATAAGTATATAACCGCCTGTCATTAAATTATCCTAACTTGAAAAGCTATTATTTGTAATAAAGGAATGGGTTCATGATAAAAGAAATATAAATACAAAATTCTATCACCATTCACCGAAATTGTAAACACACATTAACCGAGTATGTGTAAGCTTATTGTTGGGAGCAACGCAAAGCTTATAATGGTTGACTTACTCCACGGTACCCTCATTCGAAACAGTTCGACATACAGTTATTCGACAAAAATCGACAAACATAAAACTATTGATTTTACATTGTATATAGAATACATCACAATCCTGCAACGATTACATTTGAAATATCACCGCATGTGTGTATCAAAAGTGTTGTTCATTAACAGCATACAAAACTTTCATTTGAAACAGTTCGAAATCTGATATACATGCAACTATTGAATTAACATTGTATAGGTAGCATACAACAATAGGCTTACATCTCGGTAAATGTGTGTTTACTAAGCAAAATGAGAGTTTGCGAATGGGTTGATGAACACTTCAAGTTGCTACATTATACAGACTTTCTAGACAGTTCACTAGCGGAACCAGAACTATCAATTTCAATTGCAAAGGAAATAAACACACAGATTCAATTTCGACGCACATAATAAACAGAAATTACTAAAAACAAGGACATATTAAACTATTTGGTAGTATTGATTACTTCACTGTCGCCTTCTTTACAATTTGATTAAAACACAGATCCTATTTCGTTTCGTTTTTTTATAGTTGAAAATTTCGTTTTACTTGTCTTTACTACACTAGGATCTGGAAGGTTAGTGCTAAATGATATGGCCTGCTCAATGTTTCGTCATAGGTCACGAGATGTAAACAGGGCTAGCGCTTATTCCAACCCTAACCCTGAACCTAGCCCCAACGCTTACCCTAACCCTAACCTACAATCTCGCCAACAATCATGTATCCTAACCTTATTTACAAATCAGCCGATCTGGAAGAGTTGTTCTATAACCCGCGTTCTGACTGATGTGAGGGATTAGCCAATGAAACGATCTGTTGCAGTTAGTTTTTGGCGTACGACGCACGGAACTGTGGGTATCCTACTAGAAACATCAACGCTGATTGGTTGATCAAATGACTGACGTCATCGGTCAAAATTCGCCGGTATGACCCCTGACGCGACCTCCAATTACAACTGGTCAGATCTCCATGTAGTAGAGGCCATCGAAAGTATAAAAAAAACGAAACGAAATATAAATCTGTATTTTAAACAGATTGCCTTCTTTAATTATTGGTAATGCGTACCCGGGGGCACTTTGAATGTTTCTACGCCCTGGTCCGTGCAGCTGTCAGTTTTATCTATGATTGAATATAGAAACAGATGGACAATTTCCTTTACTTGCAATAACAAATATTCAAAAACCAGAACATGTTCGACCTCTATTACAGGGGCGTGTCCAAGAATTTGAGCAGAGGGGGTCCAGGGTGGCAACGTCAAGTTTGGCATCGGATAATTTTATAAAATCAGAAGCTCTTGAGACAATATTTCTGCTCATTGTGAGATTGCTCTTTGGGCCATATGGCGGAACTATATTCAGATTCAACTGTTTTGTAGAGTTACCTTTTTCGTTTACATTTTGATTTTATTTTAATCTGTCATACCCGAATTGCTGATCATAATTTTAGAGCTAGCGGCGAAGAATTGTGGGGGCATTAGCCTAGTATGTAACATGAGGTGGGGGCCTACGGGCAAATGACTATTAACCTTGCCTTATTTGGTCTATAATTCTTGAAAGGGGTTGCAGTGTCTATATTCTGTCTTGCCCGCAGGTTTATCTTGTAGATTTTTGTTCGCGTGTTGTGCAGTCCTCCTGTACTCCTACTATTAAAGCCTCATTGGTGACCTACAAAGGAAATCAGTGCGACTAAAACACCTCTTCGCACACACGCACACACGCACACACTCACACACACACACACGTCTTGGATAAGTCACGCTCAAGTTCATATCAGCGAATTTCCAGTATTATACAGACACAGATATACAGAATGGCCGCGAGTATACCGATCCACGTGCATCTTTTTATTACATCGTCACATCTTGTATGTGAGAGGCCAGTGCTGGTCGTAATTTATGGCCTTGATTGTATTCGGAGGAATGTAATATTTTGACACTTTTGAGACAGAGTGTTCCCCAGAATTGTTTTTAGCCAAGATGCATACAAGTTGGTATAGTCTGATCCCTAAAATTCAACAATAGAGTTGCCTCCCATAGATCATTTGCTAAATGGGAGATTTCGTTTTGCACTTTTTTATTTTTTATTTACAAATATGTTAATTACTCAGCTTCGACATAATCTTTGTTTCCAAAAGTAAATGATTAATATTTATGCTATTAATTTTATCAATGAAAAGAATATTTAACCTTTAGGCAACATTTTTTCATATTTGATGAGATCCTAAGTACAAAACAACGAGTACTCAACAGCAGAGCTGAGCGATCCATAGTTGCGTATTCGCATGTTGACTTGAGGGAAACACAAAAATATATTAATATTTTGTATATTTGGACAACAACCAACCATTATGACATCGCCTGTTAGATTTTAATTTCACGGTTTATTGTGCTGTCTCAGAGTACACATAGCAGTAGAAGAATTTCCAAACATGGCACACAACAGAGTTTTGGTAAGACAAATCTCTCAACAAAAATAAGAAAAAAAACGCAGAGCGTACACTTTGACTTTAGTGCTAGAGTCAATATTAAAATAATCAAAATATTGTATATTGGAGACATATATCAAAAACTGAAATTTTACCGACCAGATCTACAATAATTTGTCCCAACCAAGTCAGAGGTTTTACAGGTTCCCCCTGAAGTATGTCATGGCAGGCTGTCAAAGATTTTTCACATTTTTGTGCATTCTTCTGTCAGCAAATACATGTAGTTATGAATTTTTCCATTTTTTAACAACCCATCATAGAAAAGGCCTACTGAATTTGTTGCCTGTGCATTTATTCTCATATTATGGTCATGTATGTATTTTTTTTCTATTCTTACAGCAATGGGCAACATTTGCTCGATCATGGTGGATATATGATGCTTGTCACCAGTGTCCATTTGAATCTGCAAAACGTTTATGCATTTTTCTCCAGGGTCAACATAAACCCATTTATCATCCTCTTAGTAAGTAAATACATGTAATTCATAATAATAGAATATATGAGGTAATTAATATTTATTCATTAATTAGATATGATTATAGTATTAACTTTATGCAATAATAAAAATAGCCTGATGCACATACATTTGCATAATTTTATAGTAAATGTATGTGCAGGAGAACCATACCACACATGAACAACCAAACAAACCCAGAAAACAAACCTGTGAACAGTATGTGTCACACACACACATCGCACGTCTACTGGGTCACTGAAAGTCATTGACAATAAAAGTACCATTAAATCAAGTGAATTGATTCGGTGGGGGATGGGTGCATTAGTGCCCATTGTGCTCTGTATTTTCCCAGGCCTACAAGCGATAGTCATGACTTAAAATGGAAACAAACTCATAACAAGGGAGAAAACCCACACAAATAAGTAACAAATTGAAAAGCATTGTCTAGTGTATATGATCAGCTGTGTCTTTACAGGTAATCTCAATGTCTGTTCAATGAAGGAAATGATTTAGTTTCATTCAATCCGTTGAAAAGCGGCAAAATTCAAGACTCAAAATAATATAAGTACTTGAGCTAAAAAAAATATATATATATTAAGAAAGTAGCAATGCAACTTTATCAGTGTACATGAATTAACATGCACCTGTATCAAGATTCATCAAAAAGTGAGATTACTCTAGGAATTAATGTCTTTCAAACCAAACAATTTCTACAACTACCTATTAACAAATAGCAGATAATTTTAACATGGTTGCTATATAGATTATTCACAAAGTTATATTGAACTTTTAATTGTTGATTTGTTTTTTATTTTAACATATATTATAAACTATTCTGTTTACATACTACAGGTGATATTGGTGATCATGTTGTTGTTATCAATACTAAAGATATATCTATGAAGAATGAGTATTGGAGAAAATGGAGGTTTCACCATCACACAGGGTATGTATATGACTTACTAAAGTTACACTTATAGTTCATCAATCAAACACCTCAGCAGAGATATATGTAAACTTGTATAAATGCATGGAATCACAGAATAAACTATCAAATACAAAACATACTAAAACAGATTTCTTGTAGCCAATAGCTAATCATGACTCACAGAAGTATGATACATACTTGAGTTGGTTTACCTTATTGTCAGATGGTTTTTAGTTTTGAGTTAAGTCTGTATCACTACATGCCGGGACTGTACATTGCAATGAATGCTTATGGCTAGCCCCTCGATCCATTCACTTGATTTAATATGTTTGTTGTTTGTACTGGTGTCTGTATATTGTGTCCTTTCTGTAGCTTTGTCTTGTGTGTGGTGAGGTCCCCCTGCACTTACTATTGACTAGAATTCAAATTATAAAAACAACAGTAAGATCTATAAATGTTGAAATTATTTTTGACTGTTTATTTTGTAGATATCCAAGTGGTTACAGTCAAACATCTGCTTGGAGATTACATGAATTGGATGACACAAAGGTATAAGTTGATTTCTTTATATTATATTCTAAATGTCTATATTCAAAACATTCTAAAATCGTAATACAGATAAATTCTTATCAATACATAAGCATGTACCATACATGAAGGCTACCTTTTATGAATTTTATGATCTAGATTATTGTGTTCTATTGAATTACTAAATTGATTGATCTATTACCAGTGTCTAGTCGTTCTGATGGGACAAAAAATCAAGGCCCTGTGTACAAATTGGCGTACATGTAAAAGAAACCTTGAAATAATAGTCCTTGCGGGCAAAATTTCGCACTCTGCATGGCATATGCCCGTCTTCATTAGTCTTCATTAGCCCGGATAGAGCAGAATAGTAGGATGTTAAACCCTATTTCCTTTCATCTAATGGGTTGTCTTGTTTATGTGTGTTATTTTGTTTGTAATTATAGATTTTACATAAAGCTGTATATAGTAGATTACCAGGAAATTTATTACGTAGAAGAATGATGAGACGTTTGCATTTATTCCCTGATACAGTAAGTTATGTTATCTGTATGTGATCACAGAAGAGACTGGAGCAATTATGTAAAGCTACTGTGAAAAGCGGCAACCATTATAAAATAAATATAAATAACTAGTGGATGACCGGTGCTGCACGGGTTGTGTATATAACTCCGAAAATGGAAATGGTAGGCCAACGCCACCTCGCCCATGTTACTCCCCAGTCTTAGCTACACAGGTTGTGTATTTACATGTAACTTCGAAACTGGAAGTGGTAGGCAAACGCCACCTCGCCCATGTTACTCCCCAGTCTTAGCTACACAGGTTGTGTATTTACATGTAACTCCGAAACTGGAAGTGGTAGGCAAACGCCAGCTAGCCCATGTTACTCCCCAGTCTGAGCTACACGGGTTGTGTATATAACTCCGAAACTGGAAGGGGTAGACCAACGCCACCTAGTCCATGTTACTTCCCAGTCTGAGCTACACGGGTTGTGTATATAACTCCGAAATTGGAAGGGGTAGGCAAACGCCACCTAGTCCATGTTACTCAACAGTCTGAGCTACACAGGTTGTGCATATAACTTCGAAACTGGAAGTGGTAGGCAAACGCCAGCTAGCCCATGTTACTCCCCAGTCTGAGATACACGGGTTGTGTATATAACTCCGAAACTGGAAGTGGTAGACCAATGCCACCTAGCCCATGTTACTCCCCAGTCCCGAGCTTCCCCTATACACTAATTTACAGCTTCGGGACAGCCCTAGTGTAGCCGCCAACCTTGAGCAAACAGACGAACGACAGTCACAAGTATTAGTATAGAATCTATATTATGTACTATGTACATAAGGCTACTATGTACTGAAGTGGAAATTTCTCCAAATCTTCATCAAAGATTTCAACAATTCTATAAATACTACATCTATAGAACATGTGTACTGAAAGGTGATCCATGATATATGTTATATATCTTTAACATAAATGCAATTGGGTGTGAGAATAACTCATTATAAATGGTTCTTAAATTTATGTGATGTAAATCCAATAAAGGTTCATTTGAACTATTATATTTTATCTTCTTTGTTTATATTCATTATGAAGTGACTGAATATTTACTTCACAATTTAACGACCAGTCCAGTGTCAACTATTCATTAAAATTGACTTTAATCCAGTAATGATTGTTACGCTTGTATTATGTGCCTTTGTTTAAATGGATATGTTACGGATTGTTATTTGATAAGTTCATTAAACTAATGGTCGATGACCTAGTTTCTAATACATGCCACTTTCCACAAATGATATATGGCTATAAACCAGATATTAGTCTACACATTTAGGTCATTTATCATGGGAAGTGGCATGTATTTGAATTTATACTATTTGTGTTTTTTTACAGAAAGTACCTGATGATATATTACAAAATGTTACAGATCAAATTAGACAAGTTCAGTTAATACCCAATCCTATTCATAAATATTCTAAAGAAGACATAGATAACTTCCCCAAACTATTTGACTGGTAAGTTATTATCTTTAGATAATTTTACACTTATTTACAACATTTTTTGCCAAAAATGGACCATAAAACCTGACACCAATAATTACATGACTGTTACATTAACCACAGTTTTTCAAAGGATGTCTTTGTAGCCTCAATCTTACTAAATATTTAATTCATCATATTTTTGGAACCTTTTTTGGACTGATAATCCTTTTAGAGAATCAACTTTCAAAATCCCTCAAATAATTATCAGTGGCTTTAATATGCAGAATTATGTATAAGAAAAACAGATTTTGGTACATATTCAAAGGGGGTCAAGATAAACAAATGTTCTACTGCTTCTCTAAACTATTTATGAATTATTTATGAATTATGTATTTTTCAGGCCTGAAGAGTATGTAATAGATTATAGCAAAAAGAAAAAAGATGAAGATACTGAGAAATATTTCTAGTTTTATAGACAGTAAAATAATAGAATAACCAATGCTATATTAATATAAAATATGGACAGTAATATAATGGAATATAAACTATATTAATATAGAAGAATTGTGTGTGAGTGATAGATTTGTATAATTGTACATGATAAAATAAAATTGTATGTATTGTTCTGGATTTTTTAAATTTTTTACTGTATTTCCAAACAGGCTCAGAATAACTGAACTAATGAATAAGGGCTTAGGTTTAAATATAAGGAAGAACAGTATATAAACTTGTATTTTTCGGGCAAGATGATTTATACAATACAACCTAATACCACTACCAAATAGTACCACATACCCCCCCCCCCCACCCAATACTTATGAAAAACTAACAGAATGGTTTAATTATAATTATACAAAAGAATTGAGTTAATTCATATGCAAAGATCATAAGGTCTGTCATTGATTCAACTGGCTAGTTTGATTCCCACTGTTGAAGATCCCGACTAGCAAGTTTATTATTGACATAAAATTAAATCTTGTGTTAGTCTCGAAATGACCTAGTTTGTGTCGATTGGCCATTTTCTCTCGCTTTCCCTTTTAAAAAGTGCGAACATATTTAGGAAAATAGGATTGGAAATAATGCTACTTAACATATTTCAGAGTTTAAAACCTATTCATGTTAAGAAAATGTGCCAAAGTTAATATTACAAATAGAATATTTTATCTGACACACAGGAATGATATACTGTTGGCTTGTGTTATGCCGAGATACTGAGATACGTAAAACTTTAGGAGACAATGATTTATATAATTGAATATAAAGTTGGATAGCTCGGCTTCTTGACTTAAGGATCAAATTACCCGGGAAGCGTTATTTCTTTTAGTAGTCTGCTCGAACAATAGGCTTGGTTGTTAATGTAAATATCAATTAGATGTAAAGAATATCCTGATATATGATAGCAAACATCAGGGATTTCTATATGAATATAAATCATTACACTAAGACCAACAACCCTTGCTCAGTTGACGTCCCTTTGTTCTCTTTCAATCTTGTACTCGGTTAGTTATCTAATAATAATAAAGGAATCGTTTACCGATAAAATTTCATCGATTTCCGAAATTATATTCAGGAATTTTGCCCTTGATAACTTTGAAAAGACTTATGGGTGTTCCCAAGGGTAACTTTGTAGTCACATTGACTTGAAATTGATATACAGCGTCTATGATCATGAGATCCGGAATCCTATTGATTTACTGCAATTTCAAATAATCTCTTTCGAAGAAGTTACTATGGTTCCTCTGACACGACCCTCACACAACCAAAAATACAAATTATAGATTCAAATTTATGGGCTATTTTCCTCGTTTACTTTGATAATTATCGTGGGCGTGGTTATAATTATATGCTTAACTTGAAATTCACATCCTTTTGAATTTAAATGATTTTCGATAATTATGTCACTGGTTGTTGACCTTGATAACCTTTTAGTTTCATGTAAATACTCTCGATTAACGAATCTTAATGTGACAACATTTGTGGACTGTCGGACGACTCAGCTGATGTGGACGTATGTGTATTTTCCTGGCAACTTATCTTTCTATAGTTCGACAATGTCATGACATTTAGGTGTTATTTCAGTTGACTGTTACCGATGATTGAATAACAATGAACATGTATTCTATGCGTGATAATTGGACTAATTACACTCTATTATAATCTAAGGCATTCAATATGTGACTTGATCAGGGTATCAAATAACTATGTTTGTAATTATACATAACCTTACTAATGATTCAAAGGAACTATTTTAATCACGTACGTAAAATAAAATAAAACCCTATACTCCGTAATTGATGTGACAATAGTTAGTGATAAATCAGGTTTAAATGTAAACATTTCTCACGTCATGAACCGATTTAATAATAGGTATTATATAGGTAAAATACATTTTTAGTCAATAAATCGTACGAAAATTGACGCTATGAGGATATCTTGATTTCTTATCAAAACAATTTTTTGCAGTTTCTTATTAGTGTAATCATTTAAAGTGGCTTCAGAAAATTGCTTCAGTGTATAGGGTTGAAAAATAATTTGGCCAAATTTTATAAGCACTCAAACTTTAATTTTTTTTTCATTCGGTTGACTTCCAAAATTGGTTTTTAGGTAGTCTACTTGTAAACAGTTATTAATTTAACATTATTTTGTTTACGTAACCAACTAGATGTATAATATTTTGTTACTGGCTTTACGTCCCACCCATGTATGTCGCGAAGCAAGGATATTGATATCGTATTGATCAATAGCATTGATAGCCGTTCAATTACCCCGCCGTTTGGAACAATATATAAAGTCTTATTTACATAGAGACCTATATTGGCGTCCGTATAGTTTGAACATTAGATGCAAACACTGGGCACGTTTAAAAGGCAAACCTGGGATATGCTTTAAGCTAAATCGATTTAGTGAAGATCAAAAGATTATCGGAGATCAGCCACCTATTAAGTTTATTGACATAGTTTACAATAAGACTTCTGTTTGTTTAAATGCGATAACATTGATCAATTTTATTAAAGAAAGGATGAGTATGGCTTTAAGGCGCCCCTCCGTTGACGGGGGAACTGGTGTTAGATTTCGAGAACCATCCGTGGACGCCGGTGCTTCTAGAGGTGCTATAATCATGACTTCAGCTTTTGGCGGTCGACAGACACCATACTTTCGTGTAGAAAACACATACAGATTGGAACCTGATAAAATATTTTCTGCTTGTCAAGTTCGGAATGTTATCAAACGAGTGTTTGATCAAGAATTGAAGAATGAGACATATGAACCATCTAAGTGTAATTTATTGTCCTCGCAATTATCTGATGCGATCAAAAAAGGTGTGAAAGATCTTGGATATTCCCGGTATAAAATTGTGGCAATGGTGGTCCTTGGGCAGCCTAAAATGTCAGCTATATCTTTTACCAGTAGGTGTATCTGGAATGCTAAAGTCGACACATTTTCTGAATATGTACATAATGGTGATGATATATATGCTGTTGGTCTTGTGTATGGCATCTACTGTGAATAGAAGATGTTTGGAGTAAAGACCTGCCCTTGTCCATCGTCAATCTATATTAGAAACTCTCTTCAAACTGTTATATTTATATTGTCTACGATATCACCCATGGTGGAAGTGGACGTAAAACTCTAGGAACGAACTGTTATATGAAATTTCAAAATTTGCCAATAACTTATTTAGTTACACGCAACAGTATTTGGGAAAAAGAAATGACAATTATTTCGTGTAAGTAGTAGTATCGTGTTGTATCATTTAGTTACTGTATTTGTAGAGCAGACAATAATATCTTGACAAACTTTTGATTTTTCCTTAAGATTGTAAAGAAAACATTATTCAACCAATCTTAATTAGTAGTCACCTATCTTGAAAAAAAATATCTGGATTATGGAATGGAATTAATAACATCGTTATGTTTTTTTAAATGAATTGTGTAATGATTCCCATTGGAATGAACCGGACTCTACTCAATTAATATCAAATAGTACGTTTCTTTTAACTTACAAAGTTTGTTTCTTATCACAATTCGCTTTCTGTGTCAGAGACTATTTTTTTTAAAAAAAGAAGAAATATTAATATGCTTTACCCCCTGTATTTATATTTTCAATTTATATATAAAAATTAGAACCGGTATTGATCAAATTGAAAATATTAGTGTGTGTATATAGGGTATCTGTCATCTTTATAGTTATCTAACAATATCAAGACAAGTCGATTCAGAAACAAAATTCAATTACTTGTAGGTCGACATAAAATCAATATGGACATAAAACGTGCATAGAATTGGTATTGTGTAGCGCTTCAGTTAAAATCAGTCTGCTTCACTTTAATTCTTTGGTCAGACACACGAAAAAGAACCGCCATCATTGTTTCCTACGTCTGTGTATAAATAAAGCTCACAAATAATGTTACACAAATAAAGGAGTTTTAAAAAGGGAAGCACGGGAGTACCGTGTGAATTGTTAAATTAAATAATATATTGCATATCAATTCATAAAACGAAATAATATCAAATTGAAAGGACTACCAATAATATAATTTTTTTTTTTAATAAACAGTATTCCATTCACAGAAAAGGATTGAGAGTCAAGCTAGATATTACCTTTCTTCTTCGACAATATAATTTTAATTTTAGGTTTTCTGGTGGCAAATAAATTTAAATGTTTATTTTTATTAGATATAGACCCCTATACATATTCAAGCAACAAATTAAGTTTGGCCGCTTTGGCAATCATTCTTTACTGACTTCATTCCCCGCGATGACAGCAAACAATCAGAAAGTATGAATATGGTACGAACGATATTATAGTATTCCGAATGAACACATTTTTTTGGAAGACGGATTAGTCGACTATTCGTTGGATTGAAGATTATAGTGTCCAACTAGAAAATGTATTATTGAAAGACAAACTTGGAATTGTCACAAAAATTCAACAACGTGTACCGTGTATTACATTTACAAGATTTTAAAACACCTGCTTGGACAAAAGATAGTTGAGACCTCAATCATCCACCCTATCCCCGTTTACCATCTCGCGAAAACGTTAAAACAATATATTATTTTCAATTTTTTTTTATCATTTAATCAATCGTTAGATTTCAGAATCTTACTATTGGTCATGTTTTGGTCGAGTGAATACAAATATTTTTTAGTTTGATCTTTGGGGTATGTTCTATGCCCGGAATAACTGTTCGTACGACCTCTGACGCGACCTTTTACTACAACTGGTCAGATCTTCATGTAGCTAGGCCATCGAAAGTATATAAAAAAAAAATTAATAAAAAAAATGAAAAGAAATATAGATCTGTATTTTAATCAGATTGGTGAACAAGGTGTATGTTAAATACTGGATATCAGAACCTATTAAAACAACAAAAGTATTGGGCAAAATGCCCGGGGTAATTCTGCGAATGATGACCGGTAATGCCTCTGTTGTGGCAAAATTTTCCCTTGTTCAGATACATTATTACTGGAAATGATTTAACACCCTTCACCCACAAAAGCACGCCCGCATTGTAGCCTACCTTAAAAGACCTTCAAGGGTCGTTTTTGTATGTTGATTATGTTTGCTATTGTAAATCATTTTACCACAGTATATTTTGATATAATGTGCTGCCTTCCTTCAAGTAATTAATGCTAATCAATATGCAATGGATGCTTGGTAATAAAATTTCACAGATTGTGAATCATTATTGGCTAGAAGAAACAACATGAAGTTTAAGCCAATCCATTTTAGAATTATCACATTATGACAAAATGCACTGAATACAATGTACCCTGATTCACGATCTTGAGTAGATATAAGAAATACCAAACACAAATCCATTTTCTTTTTTCATAATCATTTTTGGGGGGTTTTCCTCATTATTACTTCAATATTTCTATAACAATTTTACAAAGAAGGTTTATGACAAAATTATACACATCCCTATGTAATAGAAAACAATAAAATTTGTGGATATTCTAAACCAATTAAATGAAAATAATATAACAAAAAACAAGCTAAAAGATATCTAAATCTCAATTAAAATATCATTCTTGGAATAGTCATAAACAGCTCTACACAACTAAGCTTTAATTCATAAAATAACTGTCTATATAATCATATGGATATAATGTCTATCTGTTACTAATCCAATTACATACCTCATTATTTCTGTCTTGCAGGTATCCATGTAAATGATTCAATCAAAAATGTTTTTGTTCCTTAATTAATATCAATGGCCCCTGGATTAGTATTCTGCATGGATGTTCTGATGATTTGCAGTGGACAACCCTCTGATTACAGATCAGAATAAATGATGGTAGAATCTATATGACATTATTTTAAAGTGAGACTAGCACAGACCCTTAATTACGGTCTTTAGAATTTAATAGCAAATATATCCACACAAATTTTCATTTTCACAAAAAAGTCTTGATATAAAGAATTCAGAGCACACATAAAATAAACACATTAAGATTTGCAACTTACTAAATAGAAGAATTTACATACTACCCGATTTCATACAAAAACAATGCTGTGTTTACAAAATATTCACTTATCTTTAGACATATAAATGAGCTCTGTTAAAACTTGATTTACAATCTTCACATATAGAGTTTATAAGCTTATGAATACTCTGTATTTTAAAATATATATACATAGTTATAAATGATCATGAAATATAAGTTTAACAAAACACACTAAGAACAAAAAGCAATGGATGTCATAACAATTGATGATAAAAGAAAAAAAAGTTTTTTTGTTTACAAATATATACAGATCATTTGATAATTCCAAGTAAGAATAATAATCACATGATTAATTTGTATCAACCTTTAGGTTTACTCCCCACTTGCAATTTTGTGAAATTAGTGATTCAAATTTGAGTCAATCATATCACTTCTTTCTAGAATTTTATTCATAAACAATAAAAATGTTAAGTCAATGTATATTGAATATGACATGAATATTAAAGGTGGGAACATGAATACATGCATATATATATATATATACACAATGATAAATGATCCTATGAAAATCGGGTCAAACCAACACCTGCGTACACATGAATGAACATCTTTAGCTAGCAGGCTAAGGCAAGGTTTACATTAGATTATACTCTGTATTCTAAAGCCATGTTCAAATAATACCCTGTATTCTAAAGACTAGTTCAGATGAGATTCTGTAGTCTGAAGCCTAGTTTAGAAGATACTCTGTACTGTAATGACATGTTCTGATAATACCTGTAGTCTAAAGCAGATGATAAAACACCAGCTTAAAGCCTTGTTCAGACAATAAACTCTAGTGGGGATGATAAACTCCAGCCTAAAGCCTATATTTTTGTCCTGTATGTCTTTCAAGTCATGATTCCTTCCTGGAATTTTCTTAAAAACTAACCATGACATTACAATAAAAACTAAAACACATGTAGTATGTAAAGACATTTGTTGAAAAAGACCAGGGGTGGATACATTTTTGACTGTTGAAAGTCAGAAAGCCTTTTTGAACTTTTGTCAATGGGTTTTACTACAGATAACACCTCAGAAAATCTGACTTGTGTTTATATGCAAAACTGTCTGGTGAGGTGTCTGTTGCGTAGCTATGATTTCTCTCCGATGTGTAAAAACATCTAGTATTTCCAACAAAGTATAAACAAAGTATAAAGTATTCAGTGGCGGCGCCAGGGGTCTGCCTTCTGTTTGCCCCCCCCCCCCCAATAATTTTAGAAAATAAAAAAAAGTATTTGTGATACGTATCAATAACTTCTACGGTGAATAAATCCCACATCCCCACTCAGTCATAAACTTGCATGTTGTAGAGCATTTCCGACAGTCTATTTTTCAAAATTTTCTTGGCGAGGTCCCCAATAGACTCGCTACTTTGGCGCTCACAAGGGGAATTTGTTGAGGTTCACAAGTCCGTTCGTTTGACATTTTGTTCTCTAGTCGGATAAATTGGTAATCAGGCGATGAACGGTATCTGGGCAGATCTATTTATCTCGACGATCGGTGCCTGACAGAATACTGTAAGACAGCATTTCCGGCAGTCTATTTTTCAAAATTTTCTGGGGGAGGACTCCCTACTTTGACGCTCGTGAGTGGGCTTCGTCGTGATTCGCAAGTCTGTTCGTTTGACACTTTACCTCATCGATCAGTGCCTGAAATACTTCCAGGCTGCATTTCCGGCAACCTGTTTTTCAAAATTTACCCCTAGTTGAAGCTCGTGCCTTTGTTTGCCCCCTTAACCTTGGACTTTGCCCCAGCTTTGCCCCTCCAATCACCGACTGCTGGCGCCGCCACTGGAAGTATTGCTTTGTTTTAGTAATTTTTTTCTTTAAAATTAATACTATGGTGTATACCAACTTCAAAACTAAATAACTGGACCAATTTCAATTTTAAAGCTCTTATAATACATAATTTAACTGATGCATAGTAGTATTTTAATTTTTTGTCTCATTTGGTCAGGGCAAGTTACATATGATAAAGCACCCCACATTTCAATTTTAAGTAGTGTGTAGGCCTGTATAATAGTGAAAATTTGATGTGATTTGTGAGATGTTTTAAGAGAATGAACTAATATGTAACAGATTATATAGAGCATGAAAATGATAGAAACCAGTATCACTTACTAGGTATATCAATATATAGTAAATAACTAGGATATACACATTTAGACAATGTAATGATATAGAAATATGATATATACATGTAAATAAGTACCACTAATAACTATGTAACACGACTCTAAAGACACATATAAAAACTATCATGATAAAATAAGATCCCATGATTGTATACAACAAATACTTTATCATCTTATAAATTTTTAAAAATAAAACTTCAAGGAATCTGTAAAAAATAATAAAGATATATTGATATTACACATGAAAACATTTTATTAATTACTGCAAAAATTAATATTCAATTGTTCAGTTAGGCAGGACATTTAGATTTGTTATATATTATACAGATGAAATGAAATGGGGTTTAACATCCTACTTTTCTGCTCCATATGGGCTAATGAAGACAGACACACACCATACAGTGTACTACTATGTGCACGCAAATGTTCACATTGAACTGATTTTTTGTCCCATCCGAACGACCAGATGCTGTTCCTTACAAGGCCCTCCATTATATACAATTGACAAGAGGAAACCACACTGGAAAATCCTGAGGAACTTTCACGTCCCCCACAGGGATATAACCCTGGACCTCCAGGTAAGAGAGCCATTGCCCTGCCACGAGCCACCCTAGCTCCACCATACAGACATCATATTCATATCTATTATGTACATGATTCACCTGATCCATTCCCCCAATATATAAAATGTAAAATAAAACTGTAACTCACCTCAACAATTCACTGTGGTCTACCTTGTGTGTTCCTTACACTTTGATTTACATAATAATCTACAATGATAAAACAATTTTAGGTATAATAATGGAAGATATATCTAATTTTGATGTTAAAATTTAACTTAATTTCAAGGTGGGTAGATAGGTAAAGCTTTAACCATGTGGTTGTGTATTACTATGAGGATCGGTGCAGAATCCTTACATTCAATGTTTGAAAGTCTTCCATCTCAATTACACATTACCTATATCATTCTGAGACTAAAATGAAATTATGGATACAAGTCTAACATTTTGCCCCAAAACAGCTTTTTTACCTAGTTTTCTATGCCATGAATACATTACTGTTTGTCACTAGATGGTTCTTGGTTTCGCTGGTCTTGAGAGTTCCATTCTAGTGTATGATGATGGTAGTGAAGGTATTTGAATCCATTGTCACTTGCATTCTTTGATTAAAATTTGGGTTTGTTCTTTCCCACATTTCCTGGTTAAGATGAGATCAGACCATTCTATGAGAAGTTCCTCAAGTTTGATTTTTTAGATAAATGTTGATTCTTCACACTGGTTGTATGGTAACTGACGCACAGGCTTTAGAAATCCTGTAACATTCTTCCCATTATCCCTAGTTTTATCAGACAGGTAAGAGAATTTATTCTACAATGCATCCATCAATGTTGATCAGATCATCTAATTTGGCCTTCACCCGCAGAATCTAATTACAGACTCTTTGTCTTTATCATCATTTGTTGACGAGTGTACACTAAAGTCCAACATCATCTGCATCAATCCTCAAGGAGCTGTTGTTGTTTTTACATCCCAGATCACTGAAATGGACTCTAACGTACTACTTTTCTGTATCAACTGGGATAATGAAGAAGGACATAACTATGCAGCTATGAGGGAAATTTTGCCAAACACCAAGGGTACTTTTACTAAGCCTATGGTATCTATATTATAGCTCACGTGGCAGGTTCTTTCTTTATATATTTTCTGGATATGGTTGACAATCTTAATGGGAATAGTATAATATTGCAGTACTAAGTCTGTTTGGAATCAACAAAGTTTACATAAAGTGGTGACTGCCATTTTAGGGACTGGTCGATGACTAGCCACTAAACAGTTTTGACAGTTGGTAAGGTCTCCCTCCCTTCTTTGGTAATTTTAAACAGTAGCCCATCTTTCACTCTTGTAGTTCCATACATCTTTTTAGAGCCTCAATTGGTAGATTGATATTAAGAGATGTTATGGTGGTGTGGCTTTAATAAGTTACTGAAACGATCCCTCCATCTGTAGTGCTATTTCTCTGATTTGGTAAGGATTTTTCCATCCTTGTTACGTCTCAGTTGTACATTCCATCTGAAAGTCAGGATTTGAATTATCCTGAAGTTTCTTCTTGGCCTATACAGGGATTCAAAAGTTTGAAACCTAGAACATCAGTCACTAAAATATTTCTTTATTCAATAATCATATCACTTACTTTTATGTCGAGGAGGTGTGTTATTTCTAATATTAAAATTTTGGCTGCCATTTGGTCCTTGATGATGAGGCATGGGCTGAAAATATAAAATAATCTTAAAAGCAATCTGAACATAATGGTAATATTAGGTCAATGTAAATAAGGCTAGTTTATTAATTAAAACAGTTTATAAAAGATTGTGTACTACATGTGTACATGTATAAGATCACATTATTTGTATTCACCATTCTATAACTGTGTTTTATTTAACTCTAGTTCTAACAAGGACATTATTCACATGAAATAGATGAATAACATTTATTATATTAAAGTTGTATTGATGTAACTATCACATTATGCTACAATACATTGAAATAGACATCAAAAATAAGAAGAAAATATTTTTATTTCTAAAAATTCAAAACGTTTTGAAATTCATGATAATGGTCTATAAATAGTTGTCATTGAGGTTTCTACTAGCGCTGTTCAATTAAGTTTATATTTACAGCTAGGAGTTCAACAGAAATAAGGTACTCTCAAGGGAACCAAATTATTAAACAGTAACAGTAAGAGGTAAAGATAATGTAGCAACTGTATTTAAAAGCCAAATAATTTGTATAGGCATTTCTGTGACTAGACTCTACAAAATGAGGGAAAGCAAAGTATGACAATGAAACGTTAATATGACATGAAAATTAAAGACTTGGATCATGGATTACATATCATCTAACATTTTTACAAAATAAGAGAGCCTAATTAAAAATACATTAGTTAAGAGTTTAATAAAGAGTTGGCCATTCTTACTATAATAATTCAAAAATAGATGATTAAAAGGGAAAATATTGAAAATTTCAGTCAAATGACTTTATTCTGAACAGAGTTGTCACTCTTGGAAGGTTGGACTAGAAATAGGCATCAACTGTGTCCGCACCGTCTACAAGAATTGCGGATCGTTTGGTTGACAGACAATAACTCGACCTTCATATTCTCGATTATCAAGTAACATTCTCAATGGCTATGGTAGCCTCGCTTGGCAGGCCTTTCATCACCAGTTTCCGGTAGTTACATCAGTGAATAAAGGTAAACGTTAGCTTGGATGGCCATTTCTTGATTTAATTTTAAATGGAAGACTGTTTACATTCAAGCTGTATCCAAGCCATCTGATGGTCAACAGAGTTGATTTTGAGCTTGTCATGTAAATAAAGGTCTAATTAAAAATCTCTATAACATCTGAAGCCTAAATGAAGACTTGCAATAGGCAGATTTAGCTCTTGCATAATGTATGTTTAAATTTCCTGGTACATGTGAAATGTGAATGCATACATTAGTCTGGATGGTTTAACATACCACATACAATAAGCTGTTAGGACTGGCAAAAGCAAAAATATTCAACAAATTAAAAAATATTGAAGCAAATTCAGAAAACAAATGATGATAATAAAATGAAAACCTGCAAGTACATAATATGGGGTTGTTGTAACATCTTAATAACCACCTACAATAAATATACAACACCTGACCAAATACATTCTTTTAGGGTTGGGCAATATTGCAAACAAACAAAAATACTGCAATAATAACATATCACAATACAGGCATGTATCACTGATATATTTTAAAGTAGTAAAACTAATCAAACTGTGCAATCATTGTGCTTCAAACTTAAGGTAGAAAGCCATTGGCATTTCTTTGATTGGCTATCTTAGGTTTTACCCTAAACCCATCCATGTCACAGTTTTAATTGGAGCCTATTGTCATTATTGTATCATAGTGTGTACGCACATGTGTGAAAGGGGTAAATGATCGCTTGATTAAATTGAATTTAGTGACTTGGCAATATTGTAATGTACGAGGGAGTAGGCTAGTGTCATAGACTTTTTGCTTTCAGTCCAGTACTTTCTCGTAAATAAAATTGGCTTAGATCACTATTGATTAACAAAACGAAATGTTGGATGGCTATAATGTTGAAAATACTTGTTTAAAACAATGTTTCATTGATTGATCTATTTACTATAAATCTTGATGATAAATAGTTATTTTATAATCATAATAGCAATTTATCACAATAATAACAGTATTTGGGGTATTTCAATATTTTTGAAACTGTTAGATATTACTAACAATATTGATTTTCATATGATATATCAGCATATAGCCCAACCCTACATTGTTTGCATGCAGAATTCATATACACCTATGACAGATGCTGACAAATTAACATGCTAACAAACAAGTCAATGAAAATATAAATTTGCAAAGCACTGAATGGAACAGAATGGTGTTGTTAAAACCTTATCAACAAAACAAATATGTACATATTGTTATATACTTGATCGATTTCTTGGATACTAACAGAGCTATTATATTTAATTATTTAACAAAATCTGTTGCAATGTTATATTATAATCTGTGACCCACAGACTAATATTTCTAAATTTTCTCATGTGATACAATACTGGGTAAATTTGCTAGGAATATAGCAATCTAAATTAAAAAAATTAAGATATTACAAGACACTTTTACAAAAGTTGTTCATTTTGAATTTTATTGGTTGATAAAATTAAATGATTCAAGCAAGCACACCAAAGCAGACAAAATAGTTCTGATACCTGATTTGGTTGAACTGGTTGTGAGGTGGCACTTGTCGACTGATATCCATATGTCATGGTAGGAAATGAAGGCCTTGATAAACTATAGGGTATATTAGCTTGCGGTGACGATTGTGTAAATTGTTGGGGAGTTGTATTTGACGGAAGAAAAACGCGACAACCACCAGAAGTAGTGACATAAGTTCCTGTTGGTGTTACAGATTGTTGGTTAGACAGAGGGTTGTTATTGACCGTATTAGTACTGTTATTAGGTATATGGTGCTGCTCTGGACTTGAGTTTGAAACCTAAGAGAATATTTATAATATTAAGTTATCAATGTTAGCCCATGTTGATATTTTTTCACTTAATACAAGTCTAAAGCTTAAACCAGCATTATGTAAGATTTAGATAAAGAGCTTGTCTTCCTTGCTATAATAGTTCAAAAATAGAAAGTTACTTTATTATGAACGAGGTTTTGAGTGTTTGCAGATGTTTATTATCTTACCAATGGTACTTGACAATCAAGACTAAGTCTCAATTATCCATTCAAACATTAAATCTCACGGGTGTTCTAATCCATTTAAATCTTGACCATCTGATGTTCTAGAGAGTTAATGATAGACTTGTCATGTGAATAAATGCCTAAAGCCAAAATAAAAACCTGCAATAGGTCAATTTAGCTCTTACATGATGCATCTATAAAGATTCTCACAACCTCACTTTAACTTTTTTCCAAAACGTCTGTGCAAGCTTTTAGAAATTCTATTCAAATTCACTATCAATTTCATCATTATTTCAATGGTAGTAAATATATACAACAGGAGTCATTAGCCATGTGTAAAAGAACTACAAAATTCCAGATCCTTTGAAAATTGGCCAGATTTTTAGCTCAATAATCCAACCTGTGTTAGATTGTGAGACAGAAATGGGGTTTAACGTCCACTCGACACAAATCAGGTTATTCTGGGATTAACATATGGTGCAATTCAATTTCAATAATTCACTTTCGCATAGGGATCTTTAGTAGTGGAAGGAAACTGGAGTATGGTTGGACAGGTGACCCTTCTACTTGTCATGTACAAGCTGGAAATTGAAACCAAGCCACTTGACTCAATGACAACAGACATTATGATCTGAGAGAGAGAGAGAGAGAGAGAGAGAGAGAGATTAATGTTCACAAACTAGGTATTTCGGTTCTATCATATGGTTCAAAATGTTATTTCAATAATTTGCTTGCGCGTAGGGGTCTTTAGCAGTGGGAGGAAACTGGAGGACCCAGAGAAAACCCACAAGGTTGGATGTAGGTAATGAGTATGTGTTTTAGTCTATAATATTTTCAATTATTACCTGATGTATATTATAAGGTGATGACTGCATTTGATGACTGCTCATGTTATTACCATTATCTATTACCATATCCATTAGAGGTTGTGGTGATGGACGGTTACCAGGATGTGAATCATTTCTTGTTCTTATAACTACAAAATTTAACATATATAAAAAATAAAATCAGATAATTTTCTATATGATTACTTACTGGCTTTGTTTTTACACAGGAAGAACATTAACAAACTAATTATTTAATGTACTGGCAACTGTAAAATCTCTAGCATTCACAGTATATTTGACATTTTGTCATTTAGAGATAAGTACCTTAGGTGTCTGTAAATTTTCATTCATTATCACTACATGTATTTAGATGATTAGCCATAACATTTTTCTGAAGCAGACTTGTTCTATTTCTTGCTAATACTAGGTTCCCACTATCACGATTCGTGCTACGATTGAAATCGTGGTTTTAATCGTAGTGATCTTATCAGGCCTTATCATGTAATGAGGTCAGTCGTAGCAATCGTGTCGACTGTATCAATACGTATCCGAAAGTATCAAAACACAGCAGATCGTGGACTCAGTAGGAACAATTCCATTGTAACGTATCGCACGACAGTGGGAACCTGGCATAAGGCATAGATTCGTCTATCAACATCCAATCAAGGTTTTCTCCAATTTTCTAAACCCCACACAAGTGGAAACAAGAAGATAATGGAGAACAATGAGTCGTTTTTAAAACAAACCTTTCTGAAAAACCAGGAATTTCCTATCTTGTTTAACTGTCATAACACACTATTACTAAATAATACAAATATAGTAGGATCCCTTGATTTAGATGAAAGTAAAGTGCTAAAATGGTGTTGATGTCAGAACAATAAAGTGACGAAATGTTGAAATTGGCTGTACAATATGTAATGTAGTAGGATATCCATATTTCAAAACACATACATCAGACCAAATCAAATATCAAAGATTTTAATTTATTAACCTGAAGTCGGTAGAAGTGGTGTTCTATCTCTAGAATATTCATTATATGAATTATTTCTTCTACGTGGCTCTCTATTTGGAGTATGTCTATGACCATTTCTATCATTATGTTCATCTCGAGGTAAATCACCATGGTGATTCTGATCTTGTTGTTGCTTCTGCTGTTTTAGTTCTCTTTGTCTAGCCTCCCTGTTGAAAAAAATATATTGAGAATGAATGTAATCACAAGACAAATCAGTCAGTTAATTGAAAACACTTCTTTGTAAAGCACAAGGAAAGTGTCAGGGTGTGGGGGCTCACAAGGAAAGTGAATTTAGTCGTTCGGTGTGGGGTGAAAAATGTAAACATTGACTTGCATGTTAAAGAACCCTGAAGAAGAGTAGGTTGAAATGCCAGTCCAGGCAAAATTCTTTCCCCATACACTGCACTTTGAAATGAAAATTTCTATATGTTAGTCTCAAAATGACCAAAGTAAGGTATTGACAAGACATTAATCCCCATTCGTATCAAGATGAAAATACAGTCATATCACCTTTCTTTTTTTCTTTGTACATTTTTTAAATGTTGTGGACATTTCTTAGCTATATGACCAATTTTACCACATTCTCTACAGCCCCTATCATTAGGAGGTCGACCCTCTGTTAATAATTGTGGATCAAAGAAATAGTCCTAAAAAAATATATTCATAAAAAAGAGATGTGTAAATCTGAAAGAAAACATTGGTTGGTATTCTTTTCTAACTACAAGTGAAAACTACAATGTTTATTACATCACAAACAATATTTTTCCCTATAAATAGTTTAAGCGTCATTTTAGTAATTGGTCACACTAAACAAACACACAAATATTTTAAGGAACATAATTACTTAATTTAATAGGATCAACGTTTGAATAATTACTGTGTTTGACAAGGGAATCGTGTTGGTTCTATTAAAATCAGTAATTATATTCCATACAAGTTTTGTGTTTCATCTAATATTTTTCCTAAAAAAGAATAATGCCACAATTAATTGATTATCTATTCATTCTATTCTGATGTACATAGTGTGAAAAATAATAAAATAAATTAAAACACTGTTGATTTATTAATAAATTACTCTTAGTGCTTTATCTATCCTTTGTCATTATCTCTAATCATTCTATTCTGATGTACATAGTGTGAAAAATAAACAAACACACTGTTGATTTATTAATAAATTACACTTAGTGATTTATCTATCCTTTGTCATTAACTAACCATTTTTCTTATACAAAAATAAATATGTTTTCAGTAGTATGTTACTATAGTTACATGTAGATTACTTACTGCTGGTGAACTATAATTAGCTACTATGTTTGGAAGTGTTTCAAATGGTGTTCCATATAGTTCTCTAGCATGAATTAAAGCATGGAATATGTAATTATTCACTGAAAAATAAATATTATTCAATAAAGTCATGTTGATTTCAAATCTAACCAGATTCCTAATATTTAATTCAGGTGAAAAACCATGCAAATCTATCTCCTACTATCTTGAATGTAATTGCCAATGACCAAAATATAACAGCACTCACTTTTCTTTGAAAGACCTCCTCCAAGATTATGACTCAAATCAAAGGGATCTGAAATAATGAAAATAGACATAATCAATAATAATGATGGTTTTGAAGATGACAATAATGCGGATAAATCTAAGATTTCCCAAACCACAAACTGATCAAATAAAGAACAAAACATATACACCCTTTACTACAGTATAGTATAAACAAAGGAAGGGTAGTTTAATGAATTTTAAATAAACCATTTTATCTAACCTTCTATCGCCAAACATTCTCCATTCCATAATTTTTCAAATCGTGATAATGGTCCCTTCTGTCTAATGGTAATAACATTATCTTTAACTGGGAATTCACTATAATACTTAAATAGACCAAGCCATAACTCTCCTATACTCTGAGTGTTCTTTCCATATCCTGGCCATACATTACGCTAAAATATCAACACGATATATTTGTTATTCTCTACATTTTATTAATTGGGTCAAATATTCTGGTTCTTAGACATCCTTCCAAACAATTTGATTTAGTATTTTGAAGGATCAATCAGACAAAATGACTTTTTACAATCATCACATTTCAAGGCTCTACATTTATTTCATCATCAATTTAATTGTGATATTTACAGGAATTGTCCAGTGTCATTTATGAAGGTTGCATACTTTAAAAGAGTTACCAGTATCTAAGAACTAGAATATTTCTTTTGCATGGCCTTAGTAAATTGAGTACAAACTGCAAGTTATGTGTACAAGGTGAGATAATTGTGGTTATATGTGCAAACTGTAGACTGAAAACTAGCACTCTAAGTTTATTTCCGTATAACATGCCTTCTTTTCATTGAATAAAACTATTCAAAATTACTCAATAAATGTAGTCTTACCAATGTTTTAAAATCATCATAAAACCAAACATTCCAACCTTCTATAATTAATTCAGGTTTCTTACCAGTATGGAGCTGAAAATAAAATTAAATAGAAGATTACAATACAATAAATTTGCTATAAAACTTTAATTAATACAAATAAAACTAGTTAAACTAAACTATGATGGGTTTTTGCCTTCCATACATATATCAATATTGGCATCATTGAAAAGAATTTTAATTAAGTAAAAGGAGCTGTTTGTCTGCAAAGCAAATAATGGAGGAGATATACCGGCAGACAATATTAGTGCATTGTTCTGATTTATTAATGTCTACAATCTCAAAATATAATTAAAATTAAAACCTGATCCTGTATCTGCACTATCCTGCATCATCTAATATCTAGAATATATATAACTTACCTCTTGTAATACAGGTATAACAGGTGGTTCAACTTGTTGTAAATAATGTAATAACATCAGTACATATGCATATGATGATAAACTACCTTTAGAAGCATCTCCTATTTCACACACCTTGAACAATAATATACAAACAGATAATATACAATATTTGACGAATTCAAATTACACATTGAATTTGAAATATAGACAGAGTTAATGAGACAACATAACATAATACATTTATTAAAAATCCACAAAGTAACCAGATTATGTTGAGTCTCACGTGTCCTAACTGCTGCATAATTAGTGGTGCTGTGTTGAAGTCACACGCTTGTCTTTACTGTAAATGATAGTGGATTCTGTCAAACTTGTTTTGTTTTTAAAATAAAAAAAAGAGGCCATCACAGGATGATTTGACAACGTACAATATTCACTTACTCTGTTTCTGAGCCAATAATATTTCACCCAGAATATTTCCGTGAGAGGATGCTTGGTTTAACATGTGTTTTATACTTGCATTCACAGGATTCACCACCAAAAAGACAATAATTACAGAATAAGCAAACTTACCTTAGCAAAAACTTTTAAAGCATAACCAAGTATTGAAACTCTTTCATCTATACTGGAGTACATTTCTAACAATGTTGTGTTATGTTGGGCCTGAGATTTTAAAATACAGGAAAAACGAATAAAAATTATGCAAGATTATAGAATAAGCAATTTCGATTTTTTACTAATTGCATCATTTCCATACACTGCATCATAGACATAGAAATAAATAAAATTATATCTAATTTTGTAATGATTATCAATTTCTGATTCTTCGTTAGAATGTCTGTATGATTAAGATATATATTTCTAAATATACTTACCAATGTATTATATAAACTAATATCACCCTCTAAACCACTCTGTCTATGACGGAACTTAACTATTGGTACTTTAGCTGTTGTAATAGCCGTTATACTACGTAAACCATCATGACGTTCCAACTTAGCTGATAAATTCTTTATAACCTGTACATAATCTAAACCCTGCGAAAAAAAATAGATAGTTTTACACACACTAAACATATTGCCACAAGCAGCTTGATTACTTACAGATACTTACAGATCCTCTTCTGAGCGCTAGCCGTTGGCCACTATACTCAGATCCATATAGTCGGTTTCGCTTGTTTTATTTTGGGTAATCCGGTTGGATTTGAAGTCATACAGAAGTTCTTGATTAATCCAATGTTTGTCCAGACGTTTTTCAAATGTTTTTGTACTTTTTGCTGTTATTACACTGTCAGGTAGATTGTTCCATATTTGTACTACTCTATTTGTGAAAAAGTTCTTCCTGATATTTTTGTTTGATCTTTTTAAATATAATTTTTTACTGTGTCCTCTTGTTTTAGTTGTGTCTGTATCTGGGTGTAGTTGACATAATTGTGGCAGACTATTGTCATAGATTCCTGATGTGATTTTATAGGTCTCGATCATGTCACCACAAGTACGTCTGTATGCTAGTGTTGGGAGTTTCAGCTTCCTCAGTCTATCACTGTAACCTATGTTTTTGAATCCTGGAATAAGCTTTGTTGCTCTTCTCTGCACATTTTCTATCACTGTGATATGTTTAAGTTTATAGGGATTCCATACCGGATTTGCATATTCAAGTTGTGGGCGGACTAGTGCTTTGTACAGTAGTAGGAATGTTGTTTGGTCTAGATATGTGAAGGACCGGCGTATTAGTCCCATTATGCTATTGGTTTTATTTATTTTTTCACTTATGTGGTCTTCAAAGTTTAATTTATTGTCAACAATTACCCCAATATCCTTTTCCTTCTCTGTATATTTGAGTTTGGTGTCACACAGCTTGTATTCGTATGGTGGTAAAGTTCTCGTTCCTGTAGTCAGTACCTTGCATTTGTCAGGATGGAATTTGAGTAACCATGTATTAGACCAATTTTCTAATTCCAGCATATCTTGTTGTAGAATTTCCATATCCTTTTTTTCATCTATTTCTTTGAAGACTTTTGTGTCATCAGCAAACATGTAATATTCTGACTGTATGTTGTCTGGTAGATCATTGATGTATATGACAAATAATATCGGTCCAAGGACACTGCCTTGTGGGATTCCGCTAGTTACTGGTGTCCAGTCAGAAAAACTATTCATAACTCTGACACGTTGTCGTCTGTTCTGGAGAAACGAGTTAATCCATTTTACAATATTGCTTCAGATACCATAACTCGACAGCTTCAACAGTAGACGGTGGTGTGGCACTTTATCAAACGCCTTCATGAAATCTAGGTATACACAATCTAGGCTCCCTCCATTATCCAGTATTTCGGTCCACCTGTCTAGTACGTGTAATAGTTGCAGTGTTGTTGATCTACCGGAGATAAAGCCAAATTGTCTAGTTGAAAAGAGCAGGTTAGTTTTCATGTGGTTTACTACATGGTCTCTAATAAAATGTTCCAATACTTTACATAAGATGCAAGTAAGGCTTACTGGTCTATAGTTTTCTGCCAATTTCCTATTTCCCTTTTTGAACAGTGCTGTGATGCAGCCTTCGCGCCACTCGTTTGGGATATCCATGACTTTAATTGAGTTATTAAAGATGATTGATATGGGTCTTGCGATCTCATCACATAATTCATGAAGAAATCTTGGGTGCATGTTATCTGGACCAGGGGATTTGCAAATTTTGAGGTCAGAGAGCCTTTTTTTAACCATTTCCTCTGTAATTTCTATATCACCCATATTTATGTTTACTTGTTGGGATGTTTTCAGGATCTTCGGTGGTATAGACACTTGAGAAGAAACTGGATAGGGTGTTCACCTTGTCTCTATCATTAGCTGTAAGTCTCTCTGACCCATTTTGTGGTTTCATTTTTAAATCAGATATGCCTATGCGTGTCTTAGTTTTAGACTGTGTGTATTGCCAGAATTTCTTGGGGTTCTTCTTAACTTCTTTAGCTATTTCGATTTCTTTATTTTTAACTGCCTTGCGCGTAAGACTCTTCACTTGGTTTCTTGTTTTGCTGTATTCTTCATATCTTTTACCATCTCTGGTTTCCATGAACCTTTTCCAACATCTGTGCTTCTTTCTTATGGCAGCCAGCGTTTTATAGTCTAGGTTAATTTTCCCTTTTTTTGCATCTGCCTTTCTACCTATGCGTTTAGGTACGTGTTTATCTTGGATTTTCATGATAATCTCCATAAAAATATTCCACTGGTCATTTATACTTTCTATATTTAATATGTCCTCCCACTTCATTTCTGAGAGTTCTTTTTTTATTTCACTGATATTTGCCTTGTCGTAATAGTATTTTACTCTTTCATTATTTTCTTGTTGGATATAGCAGTTGAAGTTGAACTGTATAATTGAATGGTTGTTTTTCCCAAGTGGGCTTAAGTGTTCTATATCAGATATCATGCCTTCTTCATTTGTGAGTAAAAGGTCTAGAATATGAGGTTCATGGTCTCTCCGGGCTCTGGTCGGTTTCGTTATGTGCTGAAATAGGAAGGTATCTCTAATACACTCAATGAATTTAAAGTCTATACAGGATTCGCTTGAAGGGGTGGTCCATGTATCCCAGTTTATCCTCTCTAGGTTAAAGTCTCCCATGATGAGCACATGGGTATGGTTTGTGTTGTGTATTTCCAGAATTAGGTTTAATAGGTTCTCATTGTTTACATCGCTTCCGTTACTGCTACGGTATATACATCCTATTAAAAGTTCATCACCGTCTATCAGTTTGATACTGGCCCATGCAGACTCTACAAAAACTGTTTTGAATTCAACTGGATTCGCCTGTAATGTATTGTGTGTGTATAAGCATACACCTCTTCCGGTCTTGTTTTGTAAGTTACTTCCGAACATTTCATATCCATCTAATGCAATCTTGGAGTCAGTCAACTGGTATCTATGGTTCTTTGGTTTAACTTCTGTAATTCCAATTATATATGGTTTAGTGTTTTCAGCAAAAAGTCTAAGTTCGGTTATTTTATTTGTAAGACAGTCAGCATTTGTATAAAAACAACTTATTCTGTTTAAACTTTGTGAGGAACAAGTAAACGATTTGTGCTTTGACTTCAACGTATCTATATTATTCACAGTTTTGTTGTTTATACTTCTTTCAGCTCTTCCTTTATGTAGCATTTCGCTGTGCGGTGAACTGTTTTGTGCTTGAACATATTTACATTATTCACAGTTTTAGTGTTACCACTTATGATTACTCTTTCTTCGGCATTTTCTTTATGTAACGGTTCCAGGGGGGGCCTCTTACTCTGTATATGAATTTCCCCGCAGATTCATCCTCATCCTCTTCCACCCTTAGAGTTTTAAATTCTTCTCTCTCCTTGGGTGTCATATCATGGTCCACTGACACTTCTTTAAGGTCATTTGTAGCATCCCGTAATTTAGAAATGTTTTTAAACAACTTTTTTTTCACTTTCTCGTTGCTAAAAGAGACTAACAAGGGTCGCCTTAATTTGCTAGTTCCATCTTCTGGTTTTTTACCCAACCGCGACGTCCTCACAATGTCGTCATCGGATATTGCTAAGTTTATTTGAGTTCTGATTTCTTTTATCACTTTTAAGTCATTTGATGTTCGGTCTTGTTTCACATTAGTGTTTAACTCAGGTGCCCGAAATATCATAATATTGTTTTTCCTGTTTTCTCTGTCATTCATTTCTTTTATTATTTCTTCTCTCAGTACATGTACATTATCATTATTTGTCAATGATGAGAGTTTGTCAGGCACATTAACTTCATTTGCTACTATTCGTTTTACATCGTCAGCGGTGACGAAACTCTCTGATTTATCTTCTAGTTTTTTCAGTCTATTTTCAAATGTTTGCAGAAAATTTCTACACCGCTCTTCTATTTCTCTATCGGCTTTTAAGTTCTTTTCTACTTTCTCGTTGCAATTTGGGCAGAACCATTTAATATCCATCCTACTGGTTAATGAATTATATAATTTGACTGGCATTTCAAGACATTGTATACAGAAGTACTTTGTACAGAACTCACATTCTATGACTTTGTCTGACTTTTTTGTGAAGTTATTTTTACAGATGTTGCATTCCCAGCCTTCATTAATTTCATCATTTTCATTTGACTTTGTTTGTTTTTTACTTGCTCTGGTCTTACTTCTGACTTGATTTTCTGTTGCCGTTTGCTGTGAATTTTGGCCGCCATTTTGAAAGTCGTCTTCTGCCGTGTCCTTGTTTACGTCCAAGTTTTCTCTATCTTCTGTCTCTGACATGTTGAAATAAGTAGTCCTCGCTACAGGTAGCCTTTTCGTGCTGCTTTGCTGTTCTACAACTATATCTCACACAATTACTTAATCTTTAATGCTCAGAGGAAGATACAAGTATCTGTAAGCATTGAATTTTGTAAACAGACAAAATGGCGCCTGTGACTCACTGAACACTTTTTTGTCGATTTTAGCCTATATAAACAAAAAACTATTAACTTTCCTACGAATTAAGTCTATATCACTTCATAATGATTTACTACCTATTTTGTAACTTGATTTCATACAGTAATTTATCAAGAAATTGAAATAAATCAGAAAGTTTTCAGAGCTGAGACAGACAGCCGATTGTCAGTTTGTTCATAAAGGTGGCTATGTAAAGAATTTCTCCTTAATATTAACAAGTTAGATGAACAAATCTGAAACGTAGAGTTACAAATAGTTTGACAGACTGACAGACAAAGGTGACAACAATATATGACCATATTAACATGTGAGCTAAAAAAAACGTCAGCATTCAATACTATTAACAAATACATTACCAAATATGATAATACCTGTAATTTGATAAAAATGCCTTGTATCTTATGAATAAAGCAATACAGGATTTGACACAATAAATAGTCAATTTTTTAAGGGGATTAAATTAATAATCTCTTAGACCTTGATATGCATACAAACTGTTGATATACCTACCTCAGAGGTTTTATCTTTAAATGTGAGACAGATATCTAAATCACTCTTTGAAAACCCAAACCCATTACATGAAGAACCAAACAACTGGAGACGAGCATCTAGAAAAAAAAGTGTATTTATTCAAATTTATTGTCAAATAAAAAATAAATAATTGTTTATGTGTATCAGATACAGATTTTCAACTTTAAAATAGCACTTGAGTCATGGAACAAGGAATATGTTTCTAACACAAGACTTAAAGTAACTATTCACATTCAACATAATAAAAGTGTCCATTTTCACTCACAAACTCTCTATTAAATGACTTGAACATTCTGTGGAATATTCCACTAATATAAGGTATAACCAGAATGTTTGTATATTTTTACCTGGATAAAGACGTTGCTGTATGAAACTCTCTATATCTTTTAATATCCATCTTCTATCAGCTTTATCTTTTGCTGTTGGTCTGAAATCATCTATAAAGAGAAACTATATCAATATATGGCACAACAAGGATTTAATGCCCCTAATTTTTCCGATTCATTGATTCCAACGACACCAATTAATAAACCTGAATCTTCTCTACATCCTTTTTCAGTCCCAAATCTACATAATGACATCATTTTTCAGTCCCGAATCACCTAAATCAACTAATGTCCACCAGCCAAAACCAATCCACAAAAATATACAGATACAAGTAACTCGACATTTCATCTGGATCTCCCATTTCATATAACAATGTATAGGTAATATTCTCCAAGTTAAGACATTTTGTTTTCTATAGCTGGAATTACCAATAAGGTTGTAAATATGTAAGTTTACTTACATATAACATTTTTTAATGTTTCACTAAGAACTCCTAGATGTTTTGCTGTCATTCCTGGTAATGGTCGTAATTTAGGTAAAACATCTTCTGGACAATTATTTCGTAGATGTCCTTCACCTTCACAAAAACCACAAATTACTGGCAGACCCTACAAAACACAATTTTATTATGTATGGATTTCATAATTTTTTACATCATGGGAATTGACCATAATAATCATTGGAAGTTGAAATGTCATGACTTTTCAAATTAAAGAAATCTGAGAGAGAAAAAATGCATCTCATTCTAATTTCAACTTCTATACTATATGTCATTCAAATCCTATTCTTATGATAAATAAAATAAATTAGATAATAGAAATACCTTTCCATCAGATAAAACATCTTCATTAAACTGATAAAAACATTCTTTATCCTGTAACCCTTCTATATCTATAAAACTAGCTATATCTATTTCACTTTCTGTTACTCCAACATCTTGTTTAGATGAAGATGTTATAGTTACAGTTGAATCTGAAGGCGGATTTGAAGAAGGATGCTGACAATTCTTACACTCTTTCATGGCATGATTTATAATTTTCTCCGCAAAATCAAGAGCAAATGTTTTAAGACTAGACATATGTTTCTCTGGTTCTGAAATGTCTGTATTATTAGCACTATCACATTGTTGTTTAACAATAAGTTCAGAATTATTAGAATTACTCAAGTCTGTTGATGGCGATGGGTCTGATGAAGATGTTTCTACATCTAGTGATGAATCCTTAACTATATCTACAGAATCCGTATTACTATTTTCTGGCATTCTTTCATGATTAGAATTATTTTCCGTAGCATTTGACAATGTCTCTGTTTGTTTATATTCCTTTAAAGCATTTGTTGCTGCCATGGTTTCTAAACTTTTCATAGGTATCCATGACTCTCCCTGACTATTCCTGGGTAAACCAAAATAATGATAAGCCTTGCGTAGTGTGTCTTGTAAATATTCATATATCATAGCATTACTAACTGTTCTGGCTACATTTAACTTTGGTGCAAAAGGGTCTGAAAGTCAAAGCAAACAAATATTAGAGCAAATGTAATTTTCTACTAGTTTTCTAGAATAATAAAAGATAGGTTGCCAGGCAACGAAACATACGCCCACAGCAGATATATCGTCTGGGCAGTCAACAAGAATTGTCATATATTTTTAATTTTTAATACATTAAAATCTGATTATAAATTTAAAGTCAATCGGATATGAACTTTGACCTCTAGGCCGTCCACAAGATTTTTCAAAGTGATTAAGGGCCATAACTCTGGCAGTAATTATCGGATATTGCTGAAAATCAATAGGCTTCTTCGTCTCATGACCTTAAACACTGTGTATAAATTTAAAGTCAATCGGATATTAACTTTGACCTTTAGAGCATCCACTAGATTTTTCAAAGTGATCAAGGGCCATAACTCTGGCAGTAATTATCGGAAATCGCTGAAAATCAATAGGCTTCTTCGTCTCATGACCTTAAACACTGTGTATAAATTTAAAGTCAATCCGATATTAACTTTGGCTTCTAGAGCGTCCACAAGATTTTTGAAAGTGATCAAGGACCATAACTCTGGCAGTAATTATCGGAAATCGCTGAAAATCAATAGGCTTCTTCGTCTCATGACCTTAAACACTGTGTATAAACTTAAGATCAATCGGATATTAACTTTGGCCTCTAGAGCGTCCACAAGATTTTTTGAAGTGATCAAGGGCCATAACTCTGGCAGTAATTATTGGAAATCGCTGAAAATCAATATGCTTCTTCGTCTCATGACCTTAAACACTGTGTATAAATTTAAAGTCAATCGGATATCAACTTTAGCCTCTAGAGCGTCCACAAGCAATTGTGGACGCCGGACCGATAGACGGACCGACAGAACGGACCAACAGACGGACGGACGGGGGCGACGACAATATAAAAAGGATCACATATAGAATGTTTCAGTTTCCATAACAAATGTATATTCTAACTAATAGATATTCTAACAAATAGATATTCTAACAAACAGATATTCTAACCAGCGGCTGCCAGGCAGGATACGCCCACATTTTCGAGAGATGGATAGAGAACAAGCTAACAAGAAAGTGATTTTTCCTACAATCAAGGGCCATAATTCAGGAAATTACAATTCGATATGCGCATATATCGAAAGGAACTGAGATCTTTGTGTTATAAACTTACATTTCAAGTTTCAACAAAATCGGATAAAAATTGTGACCTCTATAGGGTCCACAACCTTGATATACCATATTTTTACGCTATTTGAGAACGAACGGCGGCCATTTTGTCTGTCAATTTTGGGGCGATTTTCACAAAATTCAAACTCAACTGTCCTTAGGGTGGAATGGTAATATAATAATACGGTTTTTTAAATCGGATAAAAATTATGACCTCTAATGGGTCCACAAGCTAAAAACATGATTTTTCGTACAATCAGGGGCCATAATTCAGGAAGTTACGGTCCGATATGGGCAAATATTGAAAGGAACCGAGATCTCTGGGTTATAAACTTATATTTCAAGTTTCAACAAAATCGGATAAAAATTGTGACCTCTATAGGGCCCACAACCTTGATATACCATATTTTTACGCTATTTGAGAATGAACGACGGCCATTTTGTCTGTCAATTTTGGGCCGATTTTCATGAAATTCACGCTCAGTCGTCCTTAGGGTGTAACGGTGATATAATAATACGTTTTTTTAAATCGGATAAAAATTATGACCTCTATAGGGTCCACAAGCTAAAAACGCGATTTTTCGTACAATCAGGGACCATAATTCAGGAAATTACGGTCCGATATGCGCGAATATCGAAAGGAACCGAGATCTTTGGGTTATAGACTTACATTTCAAGTTTCAACAAAATCGGATAACCAGCGGCTGCCAGGCAGGATACGCCCACATTTTCGAGAGATGGATAGAGAACAAGCTAACAAGAAAGTGATTTTTTCTACAATCAAGGGCCATAATTCAGGAAATTACAATTCGATGTGTGCATATATCGAAAGGAACTGAGATCTTTGTGTTATAAACTTACATTTCAAGTTTCAACAAAATCGGATAAAAATTATGACTTCTATAGGGTCCACAAGCTAAAAACGTGATTTTTCGTACAATCAGGGGCCATAATTCAGGAAGTTTCGATCCGATACATGCCAATATCGAAAGCAGCCGAGATCTTTTGGGGATAAACCTATATTTCAAGTTTCGTCGAAATCGGATAAGAATTGTGACCTGTAGAGAGTCCACAAACAATTGTGGACGGACGGACGGACGGGGGCGACGGCACAATACGTCCACATGAAAATGTGGGCGTATAAAAACAGATAGATATTCTAACAGATAGATATTCTAACAAAGATACAAAATTCAAAACATATTAAAGAAAGGTTTCTATAAGATTCTAACCTTCTATAGCCAGTTTCTTACTGTTCCATTTCTTTTCAATTCTCGATTGTTTTTCCATCTTGATAGAAACAACTTCATTGGCTGTATCAAAGTTTAATATGTAGAAACGTAATATTCCTAACCAGAGCTCTGACAGACTTTGCTTGTTTTCCGTTTCCCACTTGGTGGCCTGAAAAAAAGTGAAATTAACCAGAGCATGTCCTGGGTATGTTGCATTATTATATGTTACAAAGCACACTTTCATAATAAGATAAACAAAATTTGCTTAACTAATTTCATATAACTATATTCCATTTTGTTGTAGTATGCAAAACCATTTCTTCAGATTAGGTTTTCTCTTTTACATATGTGTGAACAACTTTATTAAACAGGTAACCCTATTGCACAGCAAAGGCATAGAACCATTGAGAAACACTGATACAAACAAACCTCTTGTGTAATATATGAAAACCATTCTTCTTTTTTCTCCTCACATTCAGCAAACTTTGGGAAATTCTGTAATAGAAGATTTTTAATAAAACCATTATTTCATTCTAATAAATATTAGGTATTTAAATAAAGTCAATTTCTGTGTTGTTTTTAATACCATGTGGTATCCCATTAACAGATGGTCCTTAATCCTGAACACAATATGTATGGTAGTCCTTTAAGTAAGGCAAGTCTTTCTTACCTTATGAAATGTAGGTAATATTGGGGGTGTTGTATTTTGTAAATAATAAACTGTCATTAAACTCAATGAATAGGCTGGTAATGTTCCTTCCTTTTGTCGATCCAATCCACAAATCTAAACCATAAAACATTAACATACAAATTACATACGGTTGTAGCTTTGATACACCTTTCAAAATAAATTTGCATACAATGCCTAGGGTCTCTTCAGACTTTACTGCATTACTTAATATCTAACTGACAATGTTTAGTTTATTCAGTTTTCCAAACAATCCAACCATTTTAGTATATACTCGGTGGCTTAGACTCTTACAAATTACTTTAATTAAGTACAATAACTGTTTTGAAGAATCCCCAGTACATTGTCGACAACATTAGATCTCATTAACACCGTTGGGGTTGGGAGGAAAAAAATCCAACAAAAACAATCCACAGATTTACAACATCCAATGCAACTTTTATTTTGGAACTGTACAGCTAGAAAACAATTACAGCTAGAAAATAATTATGTGCATACCTTGGCCCATGTTCTAAAAGTTATTCCTAGTTGAACAACTCTAGGATCAAGAGAACTATAAACAGATAATAATCTACTAGTATCCCTAGCAAAACAACTATTTATAGTTAGTTGACATCTTATAGAGGTGTTAGGATCTTCATATATAACAGCTGGTACTTTAGAATAGAAATCATTCTCTACATTCTTAAATCTCTCACCTGTAGTGTAATAATAATATCACTCTTATTAATAGTTCACATTTATAGTCGATATTAAATAATGACAGTTTCTACTAAACAAAGATGGTCTAAAACACAATACTTTGATTTTATTTCAAACTTAAAGTTAGTATGCATTACTCTCAGTTTCCAAAATAATCAATATCAAAATTCTATTTTTTTTAATTCATCAATCTTCACAAACCAACCAATATAAAATTATAATCATTGGAAGATCTTAAGAGTTTCATATCTGAAAAAAAATCAAATATGAACATTTTTGTAAACCAACCAATATAAAATTATTATTATAATCATTGGTATATCTGACAAGTTTGACATCAATTGTAAATCTAAATACATTCCTGAAGCTAGAAATATTTGAATTAGATAAATGTTCCCCTTTTGATGAATTCTTTTTATAGCATTACCTGATTGTTTAAACTGTTCATACATTGAAACAAGAACTTTAGGCATTGATTTAGAACTGGGAGAATGAACATAGATGTTAATATCTGATGTCTTTAAACCAAATCCAGATAAAGTCGAGCCATACATTTCCATCTCTATATCTGCAACAGAGGAATGAAAATTTTAAATATCCATACTTAAACAAGTCTTTCACGACAGAAATTAATAAGGAACTTATATCTCTCCTTATGAAATATACATACATAATTAATTACATACTAATTCCACAAATTTAAAAAGTACAGTGGACTCTGTCACATCCGATCTCTGATCACTCCGGATTGTGTGACATCCGGTATGATTTTCATGTCCTGATTTATTTCCTTATTACTTCAGCCAAAAAATCGCTGGTAAATCCGAATTCTGTATGTTCCGGATTCCGAAATCAATCAGCCGTCCCATCACATAATTTCCATTAAATCGACACCGTATAATCCGTACTTCAAACTGTGGGTGTGAAGCATCCAATTATCGGTGAGATTAAAACTCAATGGATGTGAAGCCAGAAAGATTAACAAGTAATCACCAATCAATTATCGGTGAGATTAAAACTGTGTTGATTACTTTGATCGGTAAAGCAGTGAACCTGAGTTGTTTTAAGGGAGTGGACAAGATCTACCTGCCAGTCAATTGGTCGGCCAATCGCAAAGCTTGGATGACAGGTGCCGTTTACTTTGATTGGCTTGAACAATCTATCAAGTATCCCTAGTAGACAGATCTATCAAGTAAAGTAAGTAAATTATAGTATTTTACCAGGTATTGTTTTCTTCATGTATTCTTTTAATGATTGTACTATAGATTTTCTAGTTGTAATTTCTGCTGCTGTTAATACTTGTTGTTTATATATATCTTTAAGTAGGACATCCAAAGATTCCAGTTGTTTCTCTGTAGGCTTTGGTATAAAACGCAGAATATTCTCAGACTCTGTAACCTTGTAAAATAACAACCACATTTTTTGTAATATAGCCCTTTTGAAATAAAGAAGTTCATTCTTAAACATACATTATGCAAGAGATAAATCTGCCTATTGTAGGTCTTTCTTTAGGCCTAAAATGTTATATAAACTATTAATTAGACATTAATTAACGTATCCAGATCATAATCAAGTCTCGATGTCAACGCTAGCCTGCAATATTTGTTGGATTATGATCCGATTTGCTGCATAACTTTCCTTCTCGAATTAACGATTAAATGGATAATCGAGACTATGATTTTTATCGTACCGACTTTAGTAATGATGACACGAGGCTATGCGGAACTTTCGATAGCTTATTTCTCGGTTTATAGTGGATCAATTTGAATGAGATTTTCAGCAAATTGCCTTTACATTATCTAGTTTTTAACTTTTATAGTGAGAACTGCCAACTCGTTATCTTATCTCCCATAATGTATCTTTAAATTTGAAATACATAATAATTCAATTTAGATTAGCTCCTGTTTTGAACTTCATTTGTTTACTAAGAAAAAGTTCCAATCGAGAGAGCTGTAGTGGCTCAGTGAGTAAGATGCTGGCTCGCTAACCAGGAGGTCTCGGGTTCGCGCCAGTTGTTGGCTGCGACAGTTGTTCAGGATTTCCTGGGATGGTTTCCCCTTGTCAGAGATGCTGGATTAAGGCCCTGACCAGGAATAGTGTCTAGTTGTTCAGACTGCATGGCATATTCCCGTCTTCATTAGCTTAATTGAAAAAGCAGCAGGTTTGCACCATACATTACAATTATCTAAAAACCAGACAAAAAACGTGTGCAAGATAAAAACAGACACTGCTAGCTAAATCAAGTGACTGGGCACGTGGGCAGGCAGTAAGCATTCACTGCACTCTTCGGTGCTATGTATATGTAACGATACAATTTTCATGTAATGACTATAGTATAAACAAAACCAGTAGATCTCGGGTTCACTATTGGTGTTGCCCGATAAAACTCCTTGGGATTTTCCAGTGTGGTTTCCCCTCATCAGTGGTGCAGATTGAGGACTGGGCTAATGAAGGAAATTTTGTGCAGACAGGGCATTTCCTTTATTCTTCATCAAATTCTAATTGGAATTTCATCCCACCCTAACAACTACATGCTGTTCTTTGCTGGGTCTCTGTCCTGCACCACTGACAAGAGGAAAGCATGCTGGAAAATCTTGGGGAATAAAAAAAAATCAAAAATCAAAAGGTTTTTCCATTTCAATGGCATAGACAACAATAGTACCACATTAAAACATATAAAAAAGGGAAATAATCTGATTTTTGGACAACATTTTACTTACCTCTTTTCTGCGTTGATGTCTTTTCTCTCCCATGTGTCGATTACAATCTTCTTTTAGATCTAGATGATAGGAGCATACACGACAGAAAAAACTAGCTCGGGGAAACTTTGTTGATTTCTGTTCATAAAAAAAACCAAAATATTATTTCTCTCATAAATACTGATAAATAAATGAAAATGCAAACATACATTTTATCCGAGAATGTACATATTATTCATTGTCAGAGCCATTTGTTTTTCATATGGGTAAGGTACAGCAATGAATCTCTTACAAGGTACATATGGTGATTTCTTTTTACAATAAGAATTGATATACCTACCTTTCTCAAGGGAAAAATCCAATTTTTCTCAAGTTTATCTTTAAATATTTTTTCAGTTTCTGAAACTAAACAAAAACATAAATGAAAGGCATGGAAATCAATTTCTTAAGCCGATTCTATATCAGGGATCTTATCTTTGAGTTATTTTAATTTAATTTTTCTGTTCTTCAGGTATTTATTTAAAAACTTAGATATTTGGAATTAAAACCTTCTGAACACCACAACCAATTATGAGTAAGAAATACTGAGCATGTGAAACTACCACACCTTGACAAAAAATAAGTCTTTTTCGCAAAGAAATAAGGACATTTTTTATAATAGTTTTCTGAAGAACAGAAAATCATATTGATGTGGCCTAAGGGCCTTCTTCTAAAAGTCTACAATAATATTCATTTGATTAATCACCAGTAACTGACATTCACTTACTTTGTGTGTCAGTGTTCTGAACAGGCTTCACATTGTCTACTTTTGAATTACTGGATTTTTTCCCAGACTGTGCGCTGTTGTTCCTATTAGACTCTCCTCTGCTTTGTTGTCCTCCTCCATGGTTTTCTGGAGAAGATTTGGCTCTTTTTTGTGATGTGGTACTAGAACCAGGAGTATCTTTCTTTACTTCTTGTGTACTAGATTTTTCGGCATCATTGATATTTTGTTTACTTTTAGAGTTTCCTTTCTTTCCAGGATTCTGGCTTTTTTTCTGTGTATTATCTGGTGGATTGTTTACTTGTTGTTGATGTAGTGTTCTATTACCTTGCCTATCTACTGAAATTGATAAACTACCAGAAGAACTTGTTTTGCTGTTATCATTTTTGTTAGTTTCAGGGGTCTCAGCTGATTCGGCATTCTTTGCTTGCTCCTTTCTTGCTTTTCCTGATTTACGTCTTTTCTTTGAGGTTGATACATTTGTCTTTGACTGAGATGTTGTTTTGGTTCCTGGAGAAGAAGATCTTTCACTAGATGTTGATAACTTCAACATTTTTTTTAAGTCATCAGTAATTGCTGTTGTGTCTGCTGCTTCAGCCATTTTCTTGCGATTCTGAAGTGAAAAGAAGAAATAGTTGCAAGCAAACATGGAGACCATCCATTTATCATTATCATCGATTTAATGTGCTAATTTTGTCCTTCACAGAAAACAAATCTGAAATGCAGTTGCTAAAGATGCATTATGTAAGAGTTTAATATACTTATAGTAGGGCTTTTTTTCTGGCTTCAAATGTTATATAAATTATTATTTAGACATTTATTTACATGACAAATGCTTAATCAACTATCTAGACAAATGGATGGCTAAGATAATGAGTGGATTAGACAATGTCTGTCACATCTTTGTTAAAGATAAGCTAAATCTGCCTATACAAGTTGTTGTTTTGGCTTCAAATGTTAAATAAATTATTATTTAAACATTTATTAACCCAACAAGCCCAGCCCTTTATCTAAATCTTTAAATTTAGATATAACAAACAATACATAATCACACAGCAATGGTAATAAGCATTATCAGTTCATTGACCATTACATTATCTGATAGCAAGCAAAGGCTGTTTCAATTAGTTTACTTACCCGGATTGCTTGCAACTACCGTAATCAATGTACTCAAAAGTATAAATTATAATCAGCAAATTTTAAAAAAAACCCAAAAACATGGCTGCATTTCTGATAGTGAACAAAGGCCATTGTGCATAATGGTCTACAAAGTTCGCTTTCTGACTACCATAATCAGTGGTCGATGCATCTATTAGTGTTCTTATTAAATAGTTTTAGTACACTGAACGGGACAGCTAATGAGAAGCACCAATAATAAGTTTTAACTTAGAGTAGCAATGGTCAATTGACTGATAATACTTGCAATAATTTCTTCTAGAAGACACTGGTGCATATATGTTTATATTATCCTGACATAATTGCATTACTTAACAAAGTTTATTAATTTTAAAGATGAAGTAACCTTTTTCCTTGAAGAAATACTGGGTGGTCCAGTTAAGCGTGTCTGGTAGAATGCTTCTGCTTCTTCGTATTTTCTTTGCTGTAGCCAGACAGAATCATGCGTTAACGGATGTTCAGACATTTCTGTAAATTACATAAAAATAGAGGATAGTTTTTGTACATGCAAAAAATTTTACAAGTTTTAATCATAATGCTTTTACAAAGCTTCTATTCAGATCAAATGTGATGTTTACATGTTAATTCAAATAATCTCTGTAAATCAATTTAGATTTGCAGGTGTTTATAAACTCATGTAGTCATGACGCAAATTGCATTTGAAATACAACAACATAAGCCATGAAAACATTGACACGTATAACCTTTACTTAAAAAATCAGGCTATTTCCTGGTAAATTCACTACAGAAAGTAAAAGTAGAAAGCAGAATGTAAAAATTTATATTCACTGTCACAATCTTGAAAACTGTGCCCTTGCATGTTCTGAAGGACCATATTCCTGGTATTATTGACGTTCAGTTCCCCCATTCAAATTACCTAAATAAATACTTCAGTGAGGGTTCCCCTGCAACCCTAAAACATTCCCCTATTATGTACACTAACACTCCAGAAGACCTATTTGGGGAAATATTTTGGATTTATCATTTTTAGGCCTTGCATGTAATTGTGTGATAACTTTGCAATTAATAGTCGAAAGACACTTAAAATTGACAGATTTTATAATCTTATTCGAAATGGAAATGGACAGTGACAGTCAAGACTCTAACCTAAGTGAAAGTTAGCAAGAAACAAATTCAAAACACAATTTTCCAAAAACAATCTGAATCTCTCACATCATATTGAATGAAATAAAAATAAAAACGAACTATTGTAACCAACAAACTATATTCATTCATTTGGTTGTGACAAAAATGCTACGTTATACCGGTACCGATATTGTGGTGCAATGTTACATCCTACATATTATATTATTATGTCACAGTCAATTTGCAATGTTAATGTCCGTCAGCAATGCCGATGCATGGTCACATCTTACTGGTCAGACCAGGTTCCATTTTACACTTTTTACAGGCTCAAAAACCCAATAATTTCAATACACGTCTTACATTTGATCTGTTTAGGATAAAGAACACACTTCCAAATAATGTCACATTCTAGCTGCAATGCATTACCAATAACAAATATTTGGGTCTACATCAAATATTCTCTTTTTTGCAGGCCCTGAAAACATTTTGGCAAGAGTTGTGTCCCATTTATTTTTACCGGAAATGAATATTGATCATGTTTATTTATTATTTAAAAAATAAAATCATTGTTTGCTTACTTTTATTTTGTTAAATGTCTTTTTGTGAAATATTATGAATTTTTGTGCAAGAGTTTTCATTATACTTGAAAGTCTCGTGTTTCCGCGCTATACAAAACTGTAATGAGAACAAATATGGCGGCTCTTTTTAATGTTTGTTGCATGTCAAATGTGAAACATCAAATTAAGACCTCTTTCAAATCACAATATCCATAAATTTCTCACCCATGGTACATTATAGTATTATCAGCCATGTTTGCCAGCTGTGGATATTTTCGGGGAATAACATGTCCTTATTTTCAAAGCGGTTTATGTGAAAGACCGTACTGTCATTTTCGACATGTGAAGGAAAAACAAAAGGGTACGAAAGTCGAAATTAATAAATAAAACAAAAATCATTTTATAATTTAAATTTCTTGGAGGTTAATTAACCACAAGGTATCATCGATTACTACAACAATGCTGTTTTATATAGTCTAAAATAATGTCCGAGCATTTCACTAGCTATCATGATTGATGACTATTTTGTTGTTGGTTGATGATAATGATCATCTGGTCAGATTGATTATATACATGTACATAGTGTTTTGTCATTGCCAACCTTCTTAGAAAGTCCTCTGATCCTTTCCGTCCATCTTTATTAAGCTGCAATATGAAAATACTTTTCAACCCCCACCTTTGTTCACTATTTTAGAGTCCTTACCTTCTATTTTTCCCAGAATTCTTCTTTTGTTCACCAAAGGAATTATTTCTTGCCTTAAAAGAGTGCAAGTAGGGCCTACTAGTCTTGTAATAGCAGACCAATTCAAACATAATTTGATATGTTTTTGAATCTCAAAATTCTGTGTGAGAATAGTTTCCTTTTGGTGAACAAAGAAGAATTCTATTAAAAAATAAAAGGTAAAGACTTCAAAATAGCCTTAGAACAGATGTGGGGGTATTTTCATTCATTTGATATTGCAGTTTAATAAGGACGGACAGGAACGTTTAGTGAACTTGGTCCAATCAGAGACCATTCTAAAAGGAACTATCCCAGTACTGTCTGCCTAGGCAAGAAAGTTGGCAAATTTAAGTTTTGTGAGTGCAAAACACAATCATGTAACAACCTGCCCTAATTGAATAATCCAATGTCAATTCATCAATATATATTTTCTTTAGTAATACAATCTTAAAAAGTTAATCTTTTAAAAATTATTTCAGATCCGTATCCCACCAGTATTTCTCAGTCATCTTCTACAGTAACAAGTACAGAAAAAGTAGAAAATATCACATCAGCAATTTTACCAAATGATAGCTATTTCCACGAAAATGTGTCGAAAAAGATTGAAAATAATGTTGAAAAAAAAGAAACTGAGTTAACAAAATCAACTGGTGAAGAAAATGACAATGAGAAGAAGGAAGTGGAATACGATTCAGAATCAAATGATGCTGAGTTTCCATTACCAAATCCAAGCTTTCAACCAGTATACAATCCCACTCCAAAGTCTCAAGCTATTAAAAGAAATCCAGATGATCCACTGCCAGAATATTGCCCAACACCAATAACTAAGTTGAAACGCATGAAGAAACCTTTATCAGCAGATTTACAATACGACCCCGTTAGTAATTACCTTTACCCAATAAGTGAGAAAAATGATACTACTGTGATTGATGAGCCTGTTTATGTACCAATAAAACGTTCATTGAGCAATGACTCGTGTGATCTCCCTTCCAAAAAACAGATACGTTTAGATGGAGAAGCATCTAAGGAAGAAGACAATGGATTCATCCTGGGTGAAGAAATCAGTAACAGTGATGTCGAAGGTGATCATGATGATGCTCAGTTCAGTGATGATGATATTCTGATGAGCAGAAATAACAAATGTAAAAAAGACAATGACTGTGAAGAAATATTTGCAACAAAATCCTATGTTCGTGATAATGTGAGGGAAAAGGGTAATGACAGTGAGAAGGTACATGAACCTAAGACTGTAGGCCTACCTAAAAACCTCAAGAAATATGACATCATATCAGACATTATGAAAGAAGATAAGTCAAAATCTAATGAAAAAAACATTTCTCATAAACGATCAGAAACTGTGAAGAAAGTGAGTTCAGATAAATCCAAAGACACAAATCATAGACATTCAGATAAAGAAAATCTTAAAAATCAGAGCAAATCCTCATCTAAAATCAGTTCAGAAAAAGAAGTGAAAAATTATAAAAGTGATCATAGTAAAGAACGGACAAAATATGATAAGGAAAAATCAAGCTCTAGATCTTCATCAAGTCATAGAGAAAGTAACAAAGAAAGTTCTAGTGGCAGTTATAAGTCTAGAAACAAACATGAGTCTTCAAGTTCAAAATCACAATCGGGTAGTGTTTCGTCAAGTTCAAGTTCGTCTCATAAAAAACCTTCAACATCAGTTTCCACATCCAAACATTCAGGAGATAAGTCAAGCAGTCAAAAAGAATCTGAGAATAAAAAAAGTAGCTCATCATCATCATCGTCTACAAAATATGGTTCTTCACATAAATCATCCTCTTCAGCGTCATCATCACACAAGTCATCCTCTTCATCATCTAATAAACCATCCTCTAAATCTTCTTCATCTTCCCGTAGTTCTACTTCACACTCATCATCACATAACAAAACTGTCTCAACGTCAAATAAACACGATAATCATAAAAATGATAAAACTCAGAGACAAAGTTCAAGTGATAAATCATCACATAAAACAAAATCTAGTTCAGGGAGTTCCTCATCACACAGAGACAAACATAATGGTGAACATAAAAATAAAGAGAAATCTAGTTCTAGTTCAGATAAAGAAAAGGATGATAAGCCAAGTAAAAGATACAGTATTGAAGAAATACACGCCGATTTATTTGGAAGCAGTGAAGAAGAAGATAACTTATCCCCACCACAAGAGGCCAATGAAATGTCGGATTCAGAATTATTACAATATCTGGATGAAAGTGATTTTTCTGATGCTGACACGTATGAAGAATGTTTGAAAATATTCAATGAAACTAATTCTGCAAAATCTAAGACTCCTGTCAAAAAAGATGTTCGAAAGGTATGTATGTCAAACATATGCTTTCAATCGCAATATATTGAGTTACCAGTACTAGATGTTCAACAATTAATATATTAATTGTTTATATATTTCAGAGACCAGAAACAACATCAGAGGAAAATGCACCAGGAAAGAAGAGAATGGCTCACGAGTCAGCCGCTAAAGTATGATTCAATTATTAACTACTACTCGCATTCAAGATAGTTCTGTATTCATATAGGTTTAGAATTAAATGATAAACCTTTTAGCAATTATTAAATGGTGTCAATATTTATCAATTATTTTTGGTAGGTCCACAAGAAGCCGGTAGAAAATGTAAAGATGCATCTGAGTGCAGCTCAAGTAATGCACAATCGTATTATTGCCATGCAGAAACATGCCTTGGAAGCAGCTGCTGCTAAGAAAGCACTTGCTGAAGCTTCAGTAAGTTTTCACAATTAATTGATATTTCCTATCCATTATAATTATAGTCTCTTTGAATGGCATTTAGTAAACGAAAAGTAACACACTGAAACTTATACATGGAATAACAATTACTGGTTTTTTAGATGGCAGTCATGTCTGTATCGAGGAAATGTAACTTGTCGGGTACAAACTTATAAGAAGCCATAACCGAACACAAAAATCAAGCTCTTGAGCAAAGTGATGATAATATGCTGAGTAGTATGTAAATATACAACATTAATCAGACTAGTCCTATTGGGTTAGAACTCAATACTGCTCAGCTTATTATCATGGCTTTGATCAAGTTCTTGTTATATGTATGTTAATAAACCAGTAATTGTTATTGCAATGTTTCAGTTTGTTCCAGATAAGTTTAGATTGTTTTAACATATGACTTGTTTAAACATACATTATGCAAGAGCTAAATCTGCCTGTTTCAGGTCTTTCTTTAGGCCCGAAATTTTATCTAAATTATTAATTAGACATTAATTAACTTATCCAGACCATAATCAACTCTTGATGTCATTGCTAGCCTGTGATATTTATTGGATTAGGATCCGATTTGCTGCTCAACCTTCTTTCATGATTTAATCATGAAATGGATAATCGAGACTATGTTTTTTATCGTACCGACTTTAGTAATGTTGATCAAGGCTAGACTGAAAATTCAATCGCTAAATTCTTGATTCACAGTGGATCAATTTGACTGAAATTTTCAGCAAATTCCCCTTACATAATCTAGTTTTTAACTATTATAGTGAGAACTGCCAGCTCTTTATCTAATCTCCCATAATGTTCTTTAAGCTTCAGGAAACATATCTTTAACTTGACAATATTTTGAGTAGTTTTCACAGATTAAGCAGTGAAAGAAGAACAGTTAAATATACAGTGTGCTTGTAAGATGAAACAGTACTTATTTATTTTGTCCATTATAGACATCAGGGTCATCCAGTATGTTTGGGAAAAAAAGAGTAGCTCATACAACAGGTCATATGAATGGAAAAGCTGATGATAATAAAACACTAGCTATTACTGCATCGAAAACAGAAAAACGAAAAGCTCATGCTCCAACTATTGTAAGTTTGTTATTGATTATGTAATTTTGACTTGAGTACAATTTGATCTTTTTGCTCCATACATCATTTTTGAGTAGTTGATCTAATTTTCTCTCTTGTTCTGGGAGGTGCTCTTGAATATTTAATCTTGATTTATTGAAATAATATTAAATGGTTGTATATCTAACTTGTGGAAACAACTTCAAAAATTTCTCTCACTTACAGATATATTTCATTATTTTCTTAATCACTTCAGAAAAATATTAAGAGACCAACTGTTCCAACAGAGTTTGGTTCCAAAGTGCCAACAGCAATAAGACAACGTTATCTTAATCTTATTATTGATGAGTGCCTCAAGTTTATCAAAGATGAGGAATCCGCATTTAAACGGGTAAGTGAAAATATTTACTTTTTCGGGTTTTTTGAATCACACACAAAGGTTATAGAATAACCAAAGCCAGTAGATCATAACCAGAAGACACAGTTCTGGACAAATTAAGCAAACTGATGCATCAGCAAGTAGAATCACCATTTGAGATAATTTTTGTGTTTGAATGAAAATGTTGCCACAAATTTCAGAAAGGGTTAAAACTTTCTGAAGTATTTGTTTTCTACTCACCATTTTTCACTGACATAGAAGAACAAAAATGTTTCTGAATCTTAATCACAATTAATGTCCATGTTATTTTCAGGCCCAAGAAGAGGAACATGTGGCCTATGGTCGAAGTTCTAGTAAAAATATCTACTTGAGAATGGCAGTCAACACCATAAAAAGACTTAGAACTGAGGCTGAATCTAAAGTAGCATCTCCAAAAAAGAAAATACCCAATTCACAATCACATGAAGCCACTTTAGGTGGTTCAAAGGCTGCTAAAACTAGTTTTACAGTAAAAAGATCAGGAAAGAGTCAAGTATTTTATGGTGATTTTTCAGGTACATAGTTTGAATTCAGTTTATTTGGATATTAAATTTCATTTTGATACCCTAGATCCCATAAATGAAAGATTGAAGATAATTTGGAATCTTGAGTTTTAATTTTCAAAGAATTAATTTGGCCTAAATTGATTAAATAAAAAAATACATTTTTGCCAAAACTATATGGACAGAACTATCTGTGTTTAAGCTGATTGTATTAATCTTTTAATAATAATGTGAATTGTTTTATTACAGGTGCAGATTTATATAAGAGGTTAACCAAATATATCACAAGTGAAGAATTATTACAAGCTAATAATTTTCCACGACCATGTCCTGAGTCAAGTAGTAGTGCTAAATTCTATGTTGATAAAAGCATCAAAGATGTCACTCTCAAAGGTGAGTCGAACTTAAATTCTCAATGCCTCATTTTAGGGTAATATGAATCTCTTACAAACTACAGTATTGTGAAAGAAGAATCTGTAATATTGGTAGGAATATCAGTCCAAAAATAGTTCAATTCCGTTCAGTATTTACTTTGATATATTGAATAGAAACTTTATCGAACTATTCTGCTCACTATGTAATAAGCCACTGCTATTTTGTTTTCCGTGAATAATTATTGATGGGCCTAATTTAAATCCAATGGAATCTAAGCCAGGAGGTTATCTATCGTTAAATTTTTAATGTTAAATAGTAATTTGATATTTTAATGAGAAATACAAATGATAACCTCAAAATATTTACACTGTTATGGCTGATAAAACAAACTTGTTTATCATTTGATATATAAAGTATGACATTTTCATTAACTCACTACAATCCATTCTTTTTTAAAACATTGATTTTGTTTGTTTTATCTTTTGAATATAGATTACGAGAAGGTGTGTTGTCGATGTGGAAAGAGGTTTATTGTTTATCCTGACTGTGAATATGGAACCAAAGAACAGTGTTCTTATCATTGGGGAAAAGCTTGGAAACGAAGAAGTAGGTGCAATTAGGTCATAATATACAAATAATTTCTATAAAAGAGTTATTGCCCTTGTCAAAAATGTCAGTGTGTCATATTATTTCTATTCAAGTTATTGCCATTTTCACCAAATTGTTCTCTGATCAATTAAGGAGAGTTGGGTTGCCAAATGGTCTAATGATTCTGGTTTAGATCATAAGGTCTGTCATTGAGTCAAGTCGAATGGTTTTGTTCTCATACTTGTACATGGCAAGGAGTCGGATAGCCTGCCTTACCTTCTGGGTTTTCTCTGGGTTCTCCAGTTTGCTCCCTTCTACCATATGTTAGAACTGAATGTCTGTGTTGAGTGAGTATGATACCCTCTGGGCCAGTGGTTGTATAATAGTCATTTTGTTAATTATGGGTATCTTTCATGCTGTGTATTTTATCATTTACAGTTGCTGGATCTATAGAAACAAGATATACATGTTGTAGTGGTGAATTGGGATCAAACGGTTGTGCTATTTCTAAGGTATGCGTATTGTATTTTTGTTAACTCACAATAATTTTATAAAACCCGAGATTTGATTTTCTCGATGTTGTACTATCATTGAAATGGAAGAATGAATTTTACCTTAGATTTGAATTAATCAGAAGTATTTCTTTTTATAATTTTAGGCTCACGCATATGAAACTAATAAATATGAGAACACAACAGGCTATATGAAGACATTACCTACTTCACCTCCAATAGATGGTAATTATGGTGTTTACGCAATGGACTGTGAAATGGTAAAATACTTTAATTAATATTAAATATATTATCCGGTCAATATTTAACAGGGTTTAAATCTGTATATGGACATTTATATATTTTATGGTACTTATATGGTATACTCGTTACATCTGGTTGGAAATAGCATTCACTATTACTGGAGAACTTGTGTATCATCATAAATATTCCAAGAATGTTACTATTCAAAGTCTAGAGTGTGATTATTTATTGTTATTAAAAGATGTATGGGTAATTTGGGCTCATTTAATATAAATTAAATTAAAAATTGATTCCTAATGCATTCCAAATTGTAAGCACAACTTACAAAAAGTCAACCCTTACTTTTCTAGCATACATCTTGTCTATATGTTTACAAAAAGAGACACTGATGCTATTACCACCCACAACAAATTTATTTCAAGTATTATGCACATTCAGAAATTATTGTCCCCCGCCTTTCGAAGAAAGCAGGGGACTATTAAAATGGGTTCGTCCGTCTGTCTGTCTGTCTGTCTGTCTGTCTGTCTGTCTGTCTGTCTGTCTGTCCGTCCGTCCGTCCGTCCGTCCGTCCGTCCGTCCGTCCGTCCGTCCGTCCGTCCGTCCGTCACACTTTTTGGGACACAATAACTCTCTTCCTAATAACCCCATTCGCAGTTATTAATGCGCATGCGTGACGTTACTTCCGTTTTTTTGTAAACAAACACGGCAGACGTCGTGGGCTCGTGACTATGGCAAATTGTGCCGTGGTAGGTTGTTCAAATTCTTACTATAAACTGCAGAGATGGGCGAAGTCAACATGCCCTGTTCACAACAAAAGGCAGGACGAATGTGTTTGCAAAGAGCCTTTCCAATTTTTCTCGTTCCCGAGTAATAAAACACAGAAAGATTTAAGACTGAAATGGATAAAAAATGTAAACAGAAAAACTGGTAATGCTAATTGGCAGCCCACAACTTATAGCAGAATATGTTCGGACCACTTTGTGGACGGAACACCAACATTAAATAATCCATATCCTACTGTCCACATGGGATATAACATGGCAGAGACAATTAACTCCAGAAAACCTCCAATACAGCGATTTACAGTGACAGAGACACCAAAATCTAAGCCAAAGACCAGTAATCAGCATCTGGAGGATATTAATCATGATCACCAATATAATTTTAGAAGTAAATGTGATTGTACTCTAGATTGTAGCTGTGAGGGTTGTCTTAAAAAAGAAAGACAGATATGTTTATTAAAAGAAAAGATTTTGTCACTTGAAGAGCAGCTTAAAGAAGAGAAAAGTTGTTTACAGCCAAAACCCATTCACAAGGTGTTAATGGAATCCGATAAAAATGTAAAACGATTTCTTGGAATGCCTAGTAAGAAGCTATTTTTGACTTTGGTTAAAGTCTTAACCCCAAAAGCCAAATACCTCAGATACTGGAAAGGGCGCCAGAGCTTGAAAGTAATGTCATCAAGAGTGAATAAAATGAACACATCATCTAAAACCAAACCTGGACCTGCAAGGAAATTAACAATAACTCAAGAATTAATGGTTGTTTTTTTGAAGCTGCGGCTTAATCTTACAAATGAACTAATAGCAGTGATGTTTAATATAAGTGCTAGTGTATGTTCACAAATCATAACGACTTACCTCAAATTCTTAGCTCATCAGTTCAAGTGTCTCATATTTCGCCCCACTATGGAAGAAGTAAAGGCAACTTTGCCTGACTGTTTCAAAGAAACTGTACCCAATGCTCGGGGAATAATAGACTGCACAGAAATGTTTATTGAAAACCCTAATAGTCATGATGTACAGGCAAGCACGTGGTCAGACTATAAGCATCATAATACCTTGAAATGCCTGATTGATATTACACCTACTGGTATAATACAGTTTATATCTCCTGCTTGGGGGGGCCGAACAAGTGACAAGTCTGTCGTTTTAGAATCAGGATACTTAGACACCGTAGAAAGAGGAGATACCGTATTAGCTGACAGAGGATTTCCAATAGCTGAAGAACTAATGATCAGAGGAGCTTCATTATACATACCACCCGGAGCCAGAGGCATGGAGCAAATGACCAAAGATAATGTTTTAAAGACTAAAAAAGTAGCAAATCTTCGCATTCACGTAGAAAGAGCTATAAATAGGATGAAATGGTTTAGAATCCTTTCGCAGACACTTCCGATTTCTATGGCTCCTTTAATTGATGATATTTTGACAGTTTGTGCAATAATAGTAAATTTGTATCCACCTCTTGTCAAGTGATGCACAAGCTTTGTCTTGGACCCACGGCACTTGACTCTGTGACAGACCTTATGATCTAAAGTGCATGCATTAAACCACCTGGCTAGTTGTTCAGATGGTATGAATACACAAGGTCCCATATATACCAATTGCAGTACGTTAAAGATCCCTCAACCATTAAAAATGAAAATAAAGAGTAGTCTGAATTCTGAACAAATTTTATTAGCCCAGGTATGGTGCTGAAAACTAGGACACTAAACCCCATTTAATTTTTATTTCATTTGAGATAAAAGGTAACTCATTTATTGATAATGATATATTTTTTTATTTATGAATATACATGTACTATTGATGTTGTTTTATTTATGATTATTACATGTACAGTACAATTGATATGTTGATATATTATTTATTTATGATTATTACACGTACTATTAATAAATTGTTTTATATATGATTATTACATGTACAAATATCAAGATTAAAATATGAAAACATATTACTTGCTATCTTATTTTTTATGTAATACCCAAACATATAGATTGTCAAGGGAGTTAGATCTGATAATCTTGAAAATTAATGCCAATTTAACATTTATTTACAGTTTGGGCAAAACCACTCATCCTCACTGCCATCAATGTAATCAACACATTTGAAATGGTACCACAGTAAACATTTGTCACATAAAACACTATTACAATCTGAATTATCAATACTATCTTCTGAAACACATACATTTAAGCATATTTCACACAAATATATAGGCAATGGGGAGTGTTTGGTCTTTCTTCGCTTACATGGTGGGTTTACTTGATTAGTAATGGGTTTAGTAATTTTCATGTAATTATCGTACTCGGCATCAGAGATATTGTGAATATCGTACTCGGCATCAGAGATATTTTGAACATCGTACTCGGCATCAGAGATATTGTGAACATCGACCTGAACATCAATATTATAATCCCCCGATTTATTCAAAATAGTTGGTATAACAAATTCTGAGTAAAATTGATCACAATTACAAATTATATTCTTAAAATGCTTTTCATCAAATGGGATTCTTTCCAGAAAATGACCATGCCTAGTGTACACAAAGAAATCACATCATGGCAAATGACTGATTCCCATCTGCCACTGGATTTGAGAGTAGTATTTATGGGTTTTCTTCAGTGAGCATAATTCTCCTATGTTTACCAAGTATGGCAGATTTGATTCCGATGGACAAGTATGTGCTATCGACATTGGACATTTAATTTCAACCAAACCATCTTGGCAACATGAGCAAGACACTATGCCATCTGGAGAAGCACCATATTGTGGTTTGTCTTGAAGAACTATAAGTCCCACATTTAAAACACAAAAATTGCTGTGTCCGGAAGAAAGCATAAACTTAGTATAAGACATTTTAGCCTCTAACTCCATTTCTATACCATATTTCAATTGGGGTACTTTCTTGTAATCAAAAGATTCTGAATGCAGAATTTTCATCAATACTGATGTAATGTTGTCCCCCCTTTTCCCAGATTTCAAGGAATTGATCCTAGTAAACACATCATGAACAAAAGATGAGGTAATCCTACATTTTCGATGAGAAGCCCATAAGTTATTATCTGACTGACCAACTGTACTTTCTGCAATCAATTTAACATTTTCATCACTAAAACTTTCTAAAACAGACTTTATTTCTGTCTGTGATTTACAAATATATAACATATCGCATAGTGGAGGCGGGGCTGATGTACTAACATCCACATGGAAAATGTCATCTGGTGAGATATCCTTTTGACCTTGAAAAACCACAGCTTTAGGACAAACTGGCAAAAGAGCCTCTTTGATCTCTTCAAAAGAAAATGGATCTGAAGTTTCTATTGATTTCAATAAGTTTAAATGCTCAGTTTTTTGTTTACCAAATTTAGGTTTACGCCATTGAAGATTTTTGGCTAGTACTGGTTGTAACACAGTTTTATGTGATCCATATTTATTCCATAAACAAATAGTGTCTGTGCACGCTTTATTTGTTAATCCTTGCCTCCAATAGTAATCCATCTTAAATAAAACTGCCGCAACATGGTTACAGGTTGCCCCTAATCTGAAATGATAAGAAATAATTAACATTATGATACATGTATTATTTTCAAATTATTATCATTATTGTTATTAATTATAAGAATCACAGATATTAAACAAATAGATTCTTTCATACTCGTATGGGGGGGGGGGGGGTCTCGAGTCCTCTGGTTTCCTACCACTGCTAAAGACCCTTAAATTACGTGAATTATTCAATTGAAATTATACAATATGATAGTCACAAAATGACCTAGTTTGTGTCGAGTGGAGGTTAAACAACAACAACTCTCTCTCTATTTATCTAAAATATTTGGAATACTTATCATATAAAATTTGAATTGTTAAATTTGCCTATTGCTGGTCTTTCTTTAGGCCTTTTAAATGTTATAATATAATATCAGTAATTAGACATATTGACAAGACCATTATCAACTCTCGATATCATTGGATACCGGTACTTAATATTTTAACTAGATTAGTACGGTTCTGTCATTGAATGATTTACTTTAAAATTGGGGAAGCGATAACAGTGTTAACACACAATCATTATTATAAATACATTTTTATAAATATAAATAACTTTGTTCAGAAAAATGTAATTAATGAAATTTCCAATATATTCATTTTTCATGAACTATTAGGTCTACAGCAAGAATGGCCAGCTTTTTATCAAAATCTTACATAATGTATCCTTTCTTTAATAATAAATAACAGTAACACTAACAGAAATTATGAATAATAATATGATGATGCACAAGACGACTCAGAATAAATCATGTTTTTTCGTGTAAGTAAAAAAAAAAAACAAATAAAATCATAATTAGTAAAAAGGAACATAAATCAACCTTAAATATTAATTCATTTCAACTTTTTTCTAACCCAGCAAAACAGGTACAGTATGCAGACACAATTTCTCCAGTTTTCTTTACCAAAGTCAGCCATACATTATGAGGTGTGTGATGTATTCTCTGACATGGACTGCACATAGCTTTTAAAAAACAATACTTTGATTCATCGGATAATGGGTGATAAAAGACTTCCTTGAGCCATTGAGAGTCAAAGTAACTGTAGGCCTTGCCTTCTTTATAATCATTGAGTGCCTTTTTAGTAATTGATTTGTTAATATCTCCGCTTAGGTTATGGAAATACTCACATATATCACAATACATCGTCGGTGGCCAAGACTTTCTACCATTATTTTCATTTATCCAACCGACCGTAAGTTCCGAAAACGGATCAGGGAGTTTGATTCCACCTGCAAACAACAAGGATTGGTAGGATCGGGCTTTGAGGCGAAGTTCTTCATCTTTCGTGGTTTTGTCGGGTAAATCAAACTCCAATCCAGCAAAAACACGAGCTACCAATTCCTGTTTGCTCCCATTTACTCTCAATCCTTTTTTCCGACAAAAGTCTTTTAAAGATTTGATATTCCAAAGATTTATTTCGTCAAATTTGACGTCTGTCAATTGATCGGCCATGTCACGTGTGTCTTTGTTTACAACAAGGCGACCTTGACCCTATCCCATAATTCCTATTTGCGAATTGGGCTATTGAGCTAGAATGTTCAAACTTGGTGTATGTGTTTATTAGGTCAATGCCTTGATGGAGTTCGAAGATGAGCATTTTCCGCTTAGGGTAAGCAGAGATAAGCAATTTGATTGGTTGATGCTTTGGGACACGATAACTCTCTTCCTAATTGGGCTAGAATGTTCAAACTTGGTGTATGTGTTGATTAGGTCAATGCCTTGATGGAGTTCGAAGATGAGCATTTTCCGCTTAGGGTAAGCAGAGATAAGCAATTTGATTGGTTGATGCTTTGGGACACGATAACTTTTAATTGAGCTAGAATGTTCAAACTTGGTGTATGTGTTTATTAGGTCAATGCCTTGATGGAGTTCGAAGATGAGCATTTTCCGCTTAAGGTAAGCAGAGATAAGCAATTTGATTGGTTGATACTTTGGGGCACGATAACTCTCTTCCTAATTGAGCTAGAATGTTCAAACTTGGTGTATGTGTTGATTAGGTCAATGCCTTGATGGAGTTTAAAGATGAGCATTTTCCGCTTAGGGTAAGCAGAGATAAGCAATTTGATTGGTTGATGCTTTGGGACACGATAACTTTAGTTCTAATTAAGTGAGATTGATGAAACTTGGTGTATAGTTTCATTACAGTAATACCTTGACTAAGTTTGATAATGAGCATTTTCTGCTCAGGGTAAGCAGAGCGATACGCAATTTGATTGGTCGAGACTTTGGAAAACAATAACTCTCCTACTTTGATTGTCCCCCGCCTTTCGAAGAAAGCAGGGAACTATTAAAATGGGTTCGTCCGTCTGTCTGTTTGTCTGTCTGTCCGTTCCGCTTATTTGTGATAAATTTTTTTATTTATATGTGTCCTCTAATTATTTTCCTATTTCGGCGGGGGACATCAGCCTCACTGTTGGCTTGTTTTATATAGCTATCAGTATTCGATAGAAGAGCTTTTTATCTGGACCTTTCTATCCAGTGAGTTAGTGTGATATTATGTCATGTTTTATGGTATATTTGTAGGTATATACAACTGGTGGTATGGAGTTAGCTAGAGTAACTGTTGTTGGTAGTGATAAACAACCTGTATATGAATCATTAGTTAAACCAGATTATCCCGTTATAGATACTAATACAAGGTAGGCTTATATTATAGATTTCATTTGATGAATATATAAATCTTAATCTCCTGAGTTATGGGCTCCAACCATCCGTTTTTGTTTCCAGAGCATATTTCATGAATTGTTCATGATATCTTTATGAACTTTGTACACACATCAACCTACTGCATTAGTTGTGCCTTTTGCAAATAGACATTTCGCAGAATTAATAACTTTTGGGTCCTTGAAACAAATTAGATTTGGTTTTTGACTTAACGGTGCATATTGATCTTGTTGATGTTGCATTTCTATCATGCTGCTATTGTGTACAGTCTTAGTCTTACATAAATAAACTATATTTTGACATCATCTTATTATAATTTTACTACTGATATGTTAAATTGTATATTTTCTAGATTTAGTGGAATTGAGGATAAAGATCTTGATATTTTGACATCATCTTATTATAATTTTACTACTGATATGTTAAATTGTATATTTTCTAGATTTAGTGGTATTGAGGATAAAGATCTTGAAAATGTGACGACGACTTTAAGAAATGTACAAGCTGTATTACTTAGTTTATTTAATGATCAAACAATATTACTAGGTCATAGTTTAGAAAGTGACTTGATAGCAGTGAAGGTAAACGAAAAATGATTTTTGCCTATTACAACCAAATGGAAAATTGAAATCAGAAAAATCACCTATTATCTCACTATTTCATTTAGCCATGGTTTAACTTCTGACTAAAGCGGTTGACACACTAGCCGAATCAATCAGCGCTGAATTGCAGCCAAGTTTGTTTTTTTTTTGCCAAACAAGTGGACACACCAGTTGATTGCATCTCCATTCACGTCACATGATTAAAGATGGTCGACCATGTCTACAATCATGTGACTCCTCGACATCAGTTGTGATTGGTTAATGAATTCTACAATGGGTTTAATTCTTCGGCGAAGCAGACACACTAGGCGAATATATCAAACATGCTTGATTCAGGCGAATTTTGCCGCAAATTGATTTGGCTAGTGAGTCCACCGCTTAACAAGATATTTGATTTAGAAATGGGATTTTTCACCTTTATAAAGAATAGGCTTTGTCTATGCTGATTTTGAAATTCATTAAATAATTTATTTGTCTCTTGTAGCTTATTCATAACACAGTAGTTGATACATCATTGGTATTTCCCCATCGACTTGGTCCACCTTATAAAAGAGCCTTGAGAAATCTGATGTCAGATCATCTTCAAAAAATTATCCAGAATGATGGTAAATTTATTGATATTTATGCAAGGATAAGCTATTATTATGGATTGTCCTCTAGAGCACTACATTATAAATAAGATTTATTTCTAAGGGCTTTGCAAATTGTAATTTGCATGTTTAGTTAAAATTATTGTTTTGAGACTAGATTTGAAGAACTAAATGATTACCACTTAAGTTTGAGGAGATTGACCATGTTTTGGGCCATCATTAGGTAATTGTTTGTCAAAATTGAAGTAGATGTGATATTTTTTGTCAATGTATGTAATTATTTATGTTTTTAAATATTTAATATGTGTGTGTCAATAGAGATTAATATTTTATAAATTTTAATATTTTTTACCCATATTTCAGAGGGTGGCCACGACAGTAATGAAGATGCTTCAGCTTGTTTAGAATTGATGCAGTGGAAATTAAAAGAAGACGCCAAAAAAGAACATCGAAGATCTTGATTCTTGTTGATTTCATATTGGAAGTGCTTTTTATTATAACAGTTTATTATTCATTGTTGTCAACATTGTGTTAAAAGAGATCCATGGGGTTTTTTTTACTTGTTTCCACCATAGTGCTGGTCACTAAATTGGTATATCACGTCCATCTGATTTGAGATTTATCCTGTATTTTGTTTGTATCTATGACAAGTATACTCAGTGCCATCTTACTTTGTCCGAGGTTGGACATCTGAGTCAGATGTGAATTGTAGGGGAAAGAAACTGTGTATAACTTCTCTTTTCCTCAATGTAATAATTGTTTACTGTACAACCCCATAGACACTGATTTCCTCGCAACAAATTATCCCGAAAAAATCTTCAGACCTTGAGCCAATGGGAGGAGATCCATTTGATATGTGCCTCAGTCGTTCAGTTATTTTTAGATCAGTTAGAAATTTAGTTCTATAATACTTATTTTACAATTATGGTATGAAAGTGTACAAATAGTATCCGTCATAGTGTTGAATAAATCTCTTCTCCACATATTAGTGTAAATCGGTCAAACATGAGTGTGCCATACCGAGTATCGTGCCAATTTGACCCACTAAAAGTGAGGTGGTCTCGGCACAGTTAAATTTTCGTAGTGTAAGCACTATCCAGTCTAAGAACGGTTCTCAGAATAGATTGCTGTGCATCCGCCAAATGAACCTTGACCTTTTCCCCCCGCGAACTGTGACAGTTCTGTCACAATGGCAGCCCAAGTGGGTAAGACGCTGGCTCGCTAGACTGGAGGTTGATTGTTCGATCCCCGCAATGGCCGAGAAAGTCCATCGGGATATTCTGACGTGGTTTCCCCAGGTCAGTGGTGCCGGATGGAGAGCCTGACAATTACAGCTGTCGAAGTCGTTCAATTGGCATGAAAAACTGAAGTCCTGTGTATACATTGGCATGCATGTAAAGGATCCCTTGGTGGTTGAAATTCAATAGAAGAGTAGGCCACAGAGCTCCTGCCCGAGCAAAATTTCCCTCATAGCATACTGTATGAAATATGCCCGTCTTCATTAGCCCAGTCGGAGCAGAACAGTAGGACATTAAACCCCATTTTCTGTCTGCCAAAACTAAATCAACGGACATAATTGTTTTCATTCGGGTAATTTGCATAGGGACTGAAATTAACTTTTCTGTGAAGAGTTCCACATTTGGCCAGCCTGGCACATTCCGAGACCGGTTATTTTAGAGTAATATAAATGGGTCAATTTCTTGAAATTTATCGCAGCCTAGTACCATGCCAAGAACAGTACGCTTATCACGGCCATGTGTAAACGGGGCTGTGAACTACACTGCTGATCCTAGTCAACATCATCCAAAGGATCTGATTTTATTTTGAATAAATATATTAAAGTTTGCAGAAATATTTTTTGGTTAATAAAATCTCCAAGAAGAGAAGTTATATTTTTGTTATATTACCAATTTCTTTACTAACAAATGTTATGATAGTTTGTAAAGAAAATACTCATTTACATTTTTGAGGAGTGTTTTAACAAATTAGAAAAGTATGTAAATAATGATAATGCAAATGTAATTCTGTCCGATATTGCTTCTGTAGAGAATATAGTTTATACCTCATAACTTTGTGGAATAGAATCTGTTGTAAGCAATATATTCAGAACTGTTAATATGTGCAATTTCAATAAAAAAAATAATTTATTATGTAAATAAAGTATTAATCAGTATTGTAATTTAGTACAACCAACCACAGTCTATATAGTGTATTATTAAAAATGTAAAAGACTTTTTGTTTTGCAAAAGAAATAACTGAAATATAAACAAATTGTGTTTTGTGTTGCAATTTTTTTTAGAAGTAATGATTTTATCCCATTGGAAACCTTTCCGGTACAAATACAAACAAGCCAACAGTGAGGATGATGTCCCCCACTGAAATCCCAAAACAAATAGATGACGTACTAATTGCATATTTCTCTTTTTCAAATGGGTATCTATACTTGATCTAACCATAAAATGTTCACGATCAAACTCGGTGAAGGTTTTGAAGTACCTGCCACCTGGTAATGAAACTAAGTTTCATCACTCTCAATCAGTTAGAAATCAAAGTTCTCTTGCCCCAAAGCATTGACCAATGAAATTGCTCAACTCTGCTTACTGTAGCTTTAGAGGGAAATGTTAAACATTGAACTCAGTCAAGACATTCACCTAATGAAAATTATACATCAAGTTTAAACATTCTACCTGAATAGCAGAGTTATGTTCCAAAGTCTTGACCAATCAAATAGCTTAGTCAAGGTATTGATATATTGAATCTATGAGTTTCATCACTCACCCAATTAGTGAAAAATGTGCATGATTGAACTCTTGTCAAGGCATTATCTAATAGCCACCTACACACAAAGTTTGAACATTCTACCCCAATTAGAAGTAGAGTTATTGTGTTCCAAAGTATCGACCAATCAGGTTGAAGTCTCAACTTTGCCTAAGCAGAAAATGCTCAGCATTGAACTTTGTTATGGTTTTGATCACTATCACCCCATTAGAATCAAAATTGTAGAGATCAAAGTCTCGACCAATAAAATTGCTTATCATTCTGCTTACCCCGAGCCGATTATGCTCATAATCGAACTTGGCATTGATGTGATAAAACTATACACCAAGTTTCAACAATTTCACTTATTTGGAACAAAAGTTATGTTCCAAAGCATCAACCAATCAAATTGCTTATCTCTTCATTAGCCCAGTTCGGAGCAAAACAGTAGGACGTTAAACCCCATTTCATTTATCTCCGCTTACCCTAAGCAGAAAATACTCATCCCCAAACTCTATCAAGGCATTCACCTAATGAAAGGCCTACACCAAGTTTGAACATTCTTCCTCAACTAGAAGTAGAGTTATTGACATTGTGTTTCAAAGTATCAACCAATTAAATTGTTTATGGCTCTGCTTACCCTGGGAAGACAATGCATTATCGAACTTAGTCAAGGTATTGATGTAATGAAACTATAAACCAAGTTTCATTACTTTCACTTAGAACTCAGGTTAACATGTCCCAAAAATAAATATCCATGACAAATAGTTTTTACATTTTTTTTATTTTTAAATCACATTCTTCTTAAAATGAACTGAAAAATAAAAAAAAAATAGATTAAAACAAATAAGAAATGATCTGTAGATGAATTAATAAATACTGATTTTGAAATTCAAAATTGATAGTATCTTGATTATTCAATCACTGTGCTAAAAAAAAAAAGAAGCTAAATTCAATGCTGCAGATTTAATACACCTGTTTGAAAATATTTACATTACTGACATTTTGTCTATATACTATCCCTTTATTGTTATAACAGAAACAATGTTACAATCCAACAAAAGGCATCTTAGCCAAATTTAAGACACTAGCACTTCAATCGAAACGATAAGTTGTCAAACCTCTGTACAACCCCGGTGAGCAAGCTACCGATTCCGATAACAAATTGTCAAAACCTTCCAAGAGGGTAACCCTGCCAATTAGTAACCATGGAAACCCCAACAGGGTTTTGGAATAGTATAAATAAAGCCTGTAACATGAATCCAATGAGTCTGAACAGTTCAATATGATTGAACGAAACTAGCCACTGACATCTGGGATAACCAGGTCTTCAAAGCCACTCTTATCTTACTTGTATTATTAAATATAGAACGGTTGAGTAGGACTACACAATATATAATCTACTTACGGTGAAATAATTTTGTCCTTTTTACATAATCTGTTGATACAATCATCAGCTTCTCCCTGAAAAATAGGATTAAATAAAATTACACAGTTGCTTGATTTCACTCGATACTTCTTTCTGGAACACTTGATACCACATGTAAATGGGACCATCTGAGAGTTATGTTCTCCTATTGCAAGTTCAAGAATGTGACATTTACATTCAGACATCTTGCATAAACGGTATCTGAAGTCAATTATTTTTTTCTGTGTAATATAAACTTACGTTACAGCAATTTTAATCTTTGTTACGTTATAGCAATTGAGCACAATTAAAACAAATCGAAATTGATATAGAAAACAGTCATGTGTTAGTACATGTATAGTACAACATTTCGATACATGATCTCATATCTTTTTTGTACCTATGCTAAAATGGAACCTTATTTTAAAAAGACGCCTGAAGTTGTGATGCATGTAGGTACTCCTGCAGAAGCACACATAAGGAAATAATATAACAAAGGTCCCTTTCAACACGTGTAGATGATTTTGTTACCAGTTGCGAGATTGATAGGAACATACATTCAGCAGAATGTCATGTAACATACATAATTGAATATAGTTCAGGCTCCGAAATTAGTAGATGCAAGGACGCAAAAAGCTGATAAAATATGAATATAACGTGTTAGATTTGAACTTTAACGCAGTTTTGCATCTATGGTAATTTTGTTTAAAAAGCAAATTTTAAAACTTTAGTTTTTCTATAGCTAAACTATGAACAAACTCTGAGTCAACGAAGACAACAGATATATTCGGCCACGCTTAACTTAACCAATGAAATAACAATGTCACCCTCCCGACAAATAATATATGCAAAACTATTGACAAATCATGTTATCACTAACTGTATTGATACTAAGAAGGCAAAAGGGTCATTTCCCACGGTTTACTCAGCCGTAACTAAAATACTACTGACACGTAGTATATTCATGTAAACGATGATTACCGCATTTTTTAAACGCAAAAACCAAGTAAATACACATTTGTGAACAAGTGGTGGTTGAATGGACAAAGGTCCAAACGATCAAATTCTGTTCCATCTTAGATTATTTGTGTGATTACAACTATTGAAAGTTTTTGCTTGTTACACTTTATTTTTGCTTCTAATTTTAAAAGTAAACAAAAAATTGCTCCTGGTGTTGAAAATAAATTTGAACCCAGCATAGCTTACCATAAATCTAATTTTACCACAAATGGCATACAGTTTATGTACTCCTGTCATTCTACCGGTAGTTTCATCAACCTTCAAAAAAATAATGACATTTCAAATTTTGAATACTACATGATAATAAATGACATTGAAGGCAATACCCCCCCCCCCCCCCCCCCAAAAAAAAAACAGATTCTGGACACAAGGCTCTTAAAACCTTTAAATGAGTTGCATAAACTGTTATGGGGTTCAATATTTTGGGTTGAAGAGAGAAGAAATCAGTTTAATTTCCTTTCAACACAAAGATTTTGGGACTAACATGGGACAAATTTATTTCATTATTTCGCTCATGCTAAGGGACCGTTAGCAGTGGGGGGATCGGACAACCAGAGAAAACCCACAACTTTAGTTTTGAGCTGAAAGTTTCAACGGTAAATCAGTTATTTCTTCACATTTTGGACATTCACTTGTATTTTAACTTTTTTTAAATTCTGTGAAAACTGGGATATCTTTGAAATAGTAACAGTTTTCTTACCTCTGCAACAGCCAACTGGATTGAGGAATAATCATTAGCATGAATAATTTGGTTACTGGCAGAACTGTAAAGAGAAAGAAAACTGTTTTAATTTTCAGAAAGCAATATACATGTGAAGATGTTATAATAACAATCAATGAAGGGTTGAAACAGTCCTGTCAAAAGATAGGTAGGCATGGAGAAGCCTGGAGTGAATCTGTTTTGGGATGAACCAAATCCACACCCTGGGGAGCGTGTGTGAAGTCAGGCAAAACAATTTTGTTGGGAAGATCAAATTATTTGTGCAGTGACCAAATGAAGAAAAAAAGTAAAATTTTAGTGAATATAAAAGAAAACATTATGAAATTTATTCCATCCCTAAAGTGCCTGAAATCGGGGATTCAATTACCGACCCGGATTCAGAGTTTCAGAAAATCATACAACTATTCTGATTTTGATTCAGGGTGTTTTTTCTGAAACTGCAGATTCAGAAAATTTGATACGCTAGGCACTATCTGGTCAAATAATCTAGGTTCTTTTTTCAGGCGTTGCCATATTTTTGGGACAAAAATGATACAGCCAGGGCCAAAGAAAATCGGCTGTACACCCTACGATTAAGAATGGTTCCACCGCTGATGTCTTCCTCCAGTCACAGTAGTTGATCGTTCTAAGGACTTCCTTCCTCTGAGCAGGTTTTGTGAATTTTTGTCATGATTGATGACAAAAAAGTTGGCTATAAAACTCCCTGAATTTCCAATTAAACCGATCCTAAACTGTACTGCACATAGCATAACATATAATAAACCTTAAAATTGTAGTCCATGAACCATTAGTTAAATGTAAGTAAGAATAATATATTAGTTAAATAAACGAAGAAAAGTTATAACTCACCATTTTCGCGGGATATACATGTCAACAAATTCTCCTGCTTCGTTCTGCATGGTGATAGTTTATAGTGAACTCTTCGAATTGGAGTTTCAACCTAAAATTCATAACACACACGCATTTATATATTTAATTAACAACTACAAACATTATTAGTGTGTTTTATTTCTTCTGATATAGTGTGTGAAGCCATTTTATCGACTAAGCTTGGAGGAAACCATGTGAAAATTCTAGTTTCATACCTTTTTTCACTGATGGCGGACTGAAAAGGAAGCACATGTTATTATCCAGAATGCACTGCGACCGTTAGTCTTGGCTATCCCAGACGTCATTGATCGACTTGATTTCAACGACAGGAGATGACTGGATGTCACAGTCAGTGAAGTCAGAATGCACAGCACCACAGCTGAGCAATCCACAAGATAGTACAGGAATGGAAACGTAACTATAAGCCTACTATTAATAGGGCCCAACTTACTTCATTCAATAAGAATACAGCGGTCTGTCGTGCCTCATGATTTAAGTTACTGTCTTCGAATATATTCACTACTGCTGAATTATATATAAAGACTAAAATGGCAGGAAAGGTAAGCATGAATTTTGTGGTGATAATGATAATCTAAACAAGATATTAAAATTAAAGTGCAATGTCAGTGTAATTCTAAATATTCAAAGAAGTTGAACTTTCTGTGATTAGGATTTTATTATAGAAAGTGTGTATTTCCATTGTAAGACGTCTTCAATTTATGAGTAAGGTACATTGTAATACAGGTGTAATATTGTATAGTCTAACTGATCAGAAGTCTGAAGATAGGTCAACTCAAGCTGTCACTGTCAGACTGTTAAAACTAAACTTTTAAAGGGCATTAGGCCTATCACCTTTATTGCTGGTAAAAGAATTGACATAATTTGAAAAGACAAATAGATTGAATGTATAATTTGAGAAAAATCTGTACATTGCTTACTATATATTTGGCAGTCCATTAACCAGTGCAGAAGAGTGATGCCAACATTGCAGGATGACTTGTTTTTCACAAATTCTTTTTTCTTCATTCTTACATAATGTACCGTTACACCAAATGCATTATTTTTGTGACATTTTGAATCATGCCCTTCTCATTGGTTTAAGGAAATAAACATGAGATTTCTGTGAAGAGTTCTAATTTAAGAGAGGTGAGCCATATAGTACGTCTTCTAGAAATGGTTCCACTACTGATGTCTTCCGCCTTACTCCAGCCACAGTTAAACGCAGTTTAACGTTACATATAATTGTAGCTATACGTCTTCAAGATCAAGTGGTACAAAATATTTTAAGTCAGGAAAATTTTGTTCAATTTGACAAACCCATTTAATTTAATTTTCAGAAAGAGACCCCACTTGATCAGCAGCTACATCTGGCAGCCTTACAGGGAAATCTGGAACAGCTGAAAAAAGTTCTAGCAACAAAAAAAGTTCATGTGGATTGTAAAGATAAGGTATGGTATGAATCGGATTGTATAGGTCCCCACCTATCTTAGCTTTCACAAAGTTTATCTATTTAACAGGCGCCAAAAACTATATATGCAAGTCCTGCAGAGTACTTTCTGTCTGTTTTATGGCACATAAGTCAAGGTTTGTGGTAGTCTTAATGATCAGGGCATGGAAAATGTGTCCTGTCAATATGGAAATTGACAGAAGTTTTTCTCAGCCAATGTACCTGTTTTGTTAATGAATGTCTCTAAATTAAATGTGAAAACTGAATAATTACTTGGATATATATATATTTCAACAATTCATATAATGACAGCTAGGGTTTCTAATTTATATTTGCTCCAATTTAAATATTGTCTGAAAAACTGAGTAATCAGCCATGCACATATGTGCATGTATATATTGTAGAAAATCCCCCCCCCCCTCCTCCCCCACTCTTTGCCAAAAGCTCTATTTTACAATCCACTCTGAAAAAAAATGGCAGTTAGCCAAAAATTTAGTTTTTTTTATTTCATTTTATGTCCATTTTGTGGATACCTTCAAGGTATTTTTGCTTTGATGTAGATTATATTTAAAGTAGCTAAGTCTCTAACTCAATATCATCCAAAATCTTCGACATTGAAAACACAAATTATTTTTCAATTTAAATCAACATTGATGTTGTGATCTTACGGGTAAAAGATGGCCTTCTGATATCCAATAATTAAGACAAAATAAACATTTTACCGTTGGTACACGAATCGTGTACCATGGTGGATTTCAGCGCTATTTTTAACAAGTGACTCGTAGAAAGAGACTAGATATATTCCACAATTCATGTCAAACGGTGAGGTCATATTCTTATCTGGAGAGCATGCGCAATAAATACTATCGGTATAGAGTGGAATAACCAGACGCTAGAGATTGCCATTGGATTGAAACTTCTGGCATATTTCGCCGAACATAACTCATTAGAAATTGCAGTAAAAACAGAAACGATTGAATGTAAATTAGTTTATATACATTCACATTACATTATTATATACGTTGCAACCCATTTGTGTCAATTTCTAGATCCAAAATATTAGCGATTTAGCTCCTTTAAAACCAGACCAGAAAAATAAGTGTTTTATATACATTTAAGGACAGCTGTGTCCTGCTCATGGCTATAGTTTAGTGTGGGGTTTCATTATGTCAAATTATCTTTTTTTTTTTTACAATACATACCCTGACTTACATGTTATTAACCAAGTTAATTTTTAGAGGGAGGGGGATTTGAAAGTCCTATTCACTTTAACATCAAGTCCAATATGCATCAGTTTTTATACGCCCACATTTTCATGTGGACGTATATTGTCGTCGCCCCTGTCCGTCTGTCCGGACGTCCACAATTGTTTGTGAACAGTCTACAGGTCACAATTTTTATCCGATTTCAATGAAACTTGAAATATAGGTTTATCACCCTAAGATCTCGGTTCCTTTCGATATTGGCATCTATCGGACCGTAACTTCATGGATTATGGCCCCTGATTGTACGAAAAATCACGTTTTTGGCTTGTGGACCCTATAGAGGTCATAATTTTTATCCGATTTAAAAAAACGTGTTAATATATCACCGTTACACCCTAAGGAAGGCTGAGTTCGAATTTCGTGAAAATCAGCCCAAAATTAACAGACAAAATGGCCGCCGTTCGTTCTCAAATAGCATAAAAATATGGTATATCAAGGTTGTGGACCCTATAGAGGTCACAATTTTTATCCGATTTTGTTGAAACTTGAAACATAAGTTTATAACACAAAGATCTTGGTTCCTTTCGATATTTGCACATATCGGACCGTAACTTCATGAATTATGGCCCCTGATTGTACGCAAAAATGTGTTTTTGGGCTTGTGGACCCTATAGAGGTCATAATTTTTATCCGATTTAAAAAACTCTGTTAATATATCACCGTTACACCATAAGGACGCCTGAGTTCAAATTTCATGAAAATCGGCCCAAAACTGACAGCCTAAATGGCCGTCGTTCGTTCTCAAATAGCATAAAAATATGGTATATCAAGGTTGTGGACCCTATAGAGGTCACAATTTTTATCCGATTTTGTTGAAACTTGACATGTAAGTTTATAACCCAAAGATCTCGGTTCCTTTCGATATTCGCGCATATCGGACCGTAACTCCCTGAATTATGGCCCCTGAATGTACGAAAAATCACGTTTTTAGCTTGTGGACCCTATAGAGGTCATAATTATTATCCGATTTAAAAAATCATATTATTATATCACTGTTACACCCTAAGGACGACTGAGTTCGAATTTCGTGAAAATCGACCAAAAACTGACAGATAAAATGGCCGCCCTTCGTTCTCAAATAGCGTAAAAATATGGTATATCAGAGGTTACAATTTTTATCCGATTTTGTTGAAACTTGAAATGTAAGTTTATAACCCAAAGATCTTGGTTCCTTTCGATATTCGCGCATATCGGACCCTAACTTCATGAATTATATCCCCTGATTGTACGCAAAAACGTGTTTTTTGGCTTGTGGACCCTATAGAGGTCATAATTTTTATCCGATTTAAAAAAACGTGTTAATATATCACCGTTACACCCTAAGGAAGGCTGAGTTCGAATTTCGTGAAAATCAGCCCAAAATTAACAGACAAAATGGCCGCCGTTCGTTCTCAAATAGCATAAAAATATGGTATATCAAGGTTGTGGACCCTATAGAGGTCACAATTTTTATCCGATTTTGTTGAAACTTGAAACATAAGTTTATAACACAAAGATCTTGGTTCCTTTCGATATTTGCACATATCGGACCGTAACTTCATGAATTATGGCCCCTGATTGTACGCAAAAATGTGTTTTTGGGCTTGTGGACCCTATAGAGGTCATAATTTTTATCCGATTTAAAAAACTGTGTTAATATATCACCGTTACACCATAAGGACGCCTGAGTTCAAATTTCATGAAAATCGGCCCAAAACTGACAGCCTAAATGGCCGTCGTTCGTTCTCAAATAGCATAAAAATATGGTATATCAAGGTTGTGGACCCTATAGAGGTCACAATTTTTATCCGATTTTGTTGAAACTTGACATGTAAGTTTATAACCCAAAGATCTCGGTTCCTTTCGATATTTGCGCATATCGAATTGTAATTTCCTGAATTATGGCCCTTGATTGTAGGAAAAATCACTTTCGTTTTAGCTTGTTTTCTATCCATCTCTTGAAAATGTGGGCGTATCCTGCCTGGCAGCCGCTGGTTATTTATGGATCAGTAAACATAGTAAATACACATATAACCCACACCTTTTGTACTATTACATTGTTTCAAAGTGTTAATTATATAGACTGAAATACACAGGTAGTATGAGTAGCTAGTGTATACTCCCCAGTAATTCACTGTACAGTACAGGCATATAATCTATGACCCAGTAACCCTGCTTTAAAGGAGCAGTTCCAGATATATTTTATGATAAAACTGGTATACTCTTGAAAACTTTAATCAATTCTTATGCATTTTTTGAAACACTGTGATACTTTTTTGAAAAATATAGACATTAGGAATGATATAAGTAAAATTATCTGATGGGATATTCTCGGACTAACAGATAATTGCTTGGTAATGGATATTTTCAGTCTGACAGATATTTGCTTGGTAATTGATATTCTCAGTGTAAAAGATAATTGCTTGGTAATGCAAGAGGGAGCTGCAGCGGCTAAGTGAGTAAGATGTTGGCTCGTAAGAGTAGGCCATTTTCCTATAGAATACTGTATGGCATAATATGCTCGTCTGCATTTGCCCAGTCCGAGCAGAACAGGAGGACGTTAAACCTTATTTCATTTCATTGTTGGTAATGCTCCAGTACATCTACAAAAATATTGTATTGAGGAATTTTGTCATTAATAATTATGTTATATGTAGGAAATACAACAATTGTCTTGTCATGTTTGTGTGAAGTGTATCTTATTGTATGGCTAGAATGTCAGGCATCTCTTACTTAGTACAGCTCTACTTGTAAATATAGTATGATGATGATACTGTACTAGGTTATTGTTGATAGGTCTGTCATCTGGTTAATTACCTTTGTTAAAGTACATATAGGTGATATTCTTATCTCATTCTAAAAACAAGTGCAGGACCACATCACCACACATCAATCGACATGTAGATTTATCTAACCTGCAAACAAGAAGACAATCCCACAGACTACAATACAAGACAACAAAAACACACATGTATAAGCAATATGATAACTAAATCAATCAATGGAATGGATCTGTGGGCCAGGCCAATACTTCCTCTACGCTGTTATATATTCATTTAAATTTTAAAGAATTTGAAATTGACACTTATTAATTGTAGTACAATATTTGTGTATTACAACTACTGATACATGTAAGCTAAGAAAGACAGGACTGGTGTCTGATAAGATACACCTCAAGATTATCTAATGGATTACTACCAATTTTTATTGTGTCATCTATCTGTTAGATTTTTCTGTGTATTGCATCATATTTTACAGACTACAATACAAGACAACAAAAACACACATGTATAAGCAATATGATAACTAAATCAATCAATGGAATGGATCTGTGGGCCAGGCCAATACTTCCTCTACGCTGTTATATATTCATTTAAATTTTAAAGAATTTGAAATTGACACTTATTAATTGTAGTACAATATTTGTGTATTACAACTACTGATACATGTAAGCTAAGAAAGACAGGACTGGTGTCTGATAAGATACACCTCAAGATTATCTAATGGATTACTACCAATTTTTATTGTGTCATCTATCTGTTAGATTTTTCTGTGTATTGCATCATATTTTACAATGGTGTTGAGGAAAATGATTTGATGTACTGTATATCTATAATGGGACCCTTTGAGATGTGTGCTGAGAATTGTTACCTTATTTGAATGCCAAATTAATCACAATTGAATACTATACTATAATGTATTTCGAAATTCCCATAAAATGAAAATTTGGAATTAAAAATCATCTTAATCATGTAAG